ACGAGTTCATAGTCCTGATCAAGACGGGAAACTAGGCCTTCGACGGCGACTTTCCAGCAACGTTATTTTGTCGTCATTTTAGAAGTAGATAATCGTCTAACTGCTGTAATGGGAGGTTAGGAGGAGAAAGTTTCGCTTGCGACCGTTGGAACGAGGTATCCTAACCTTCCGATTGGATCTTAGATCCACGGTCCTGTTTTTTAAGTTAAAACCTAGCCAAATCGGGAGGATCTAGATAATGAAGTATTGTCCCAAAAGTAAACAAACCTGAGTTCGACGCAGACATTAGTTATAGCTATCCCAAAAGATGTATTTCGAAGTAAGGCAGAAACACCACGAACTGAATCTGGACAATAAACAAGAGTTCTAGAAGCTGCCACTAGTCCCAAACGTAGGCTGCTCGATAGGGCTCAATCCTACCAAAGCAGAAATGGAGGAGAAGAGAGAATAATGCCATGAAAAAGAGAATCAACGTCGTGTTGTTAATGTGGGGTGGAAGAATGAGACTCATAACTGAGAAAAAGACAACGGTCGCAATCGCGGCTCAGCGCGTTACTAATTCAGCGACGGCACAATAAATATATTCACGGGTTGCAGCAACAGCAAGAGTAGTTTAAGCGCACACCCATACAAAAATTTCATCAAGGATTATGGAACTGGATACCTCGGTCATTCAGCTCGCGAAGGACATCCATTGAAATAGGTCAGATGGGAGAGGTCTGAGGGGAATTGCGTAGTTTGAATACCCGGCTGGGACCATATTTCGGCTTGTTCAGGGGCTATCCGCCAGAATTGAGTGGAAGAAAAAATCAGGATAAATCTGCTTAGTTGCGCTCAGTATTATGACAAGAACGAGGGCTCGAAGACGATTGTGGAGTGAAATGGTAGGTTAGCCCGTAGACTGAAGTGAATGGGAATCGAACCCAGCCCTCGTTTGTCAGAGAAAAGTACCGGAGTACAACCAAGGGTGCCCATACAAGAAGTACATGTAGATTTCCACCACGTATTTTGGGGTTTCCGAGCTCAAACCACAATCAAATTAATCAGAAAGGCCGAGAGAACAAAATCAATTTTTCAGAGGGTTGTAAAATTGTTACGAAACTCTGCCCCGAAGGGTTGGTTTCATCACCCGCTAGCGGTACCTTTTCTTAGACATCTAAATGGTGCTCTCGTGGTGTGTGGCCGTATGCGTTGCCAAGTACCAGGTACTTGCAAGCCGGGCTTATACCGTGTGCGCAAGTTAGCCATTAAACCAGGCCAGGCTGCTAGCCTGTAGACAGTGTTTATCCACCCTTTTATACCACACAATACAACAAAAACACCCTGTAACTCACACAACAGTGCCGAAAAAGTCGCCAAAACTTGACCAATATATCTCCCGTACTCCGGGATCCGTTGTACCATAAAATTAAGACGGATGCAACGCCCCAATTGAGCTATTGACGCGAGGGACTTTGACGAGCGGGAATCGAGTTTGAGCGTTGGTCACGTGTTTAGCAGCAGTGAACTGCAGAAGCGCCTTCCAACAATATCAACGGGGCTCTTAACCTGGGCAAAGGAGAACCTGTTAAGCCAATACTATGCAACTGGGTCAAGGGGAGGATTGAGATCCTCTGGGATGGTCGCCAGCAAAGGTCCATCGTCCCGCGCTTCTGTAAGGATCGTCGTGCGGCTTTCGGGTCGTGCAACTATGCTGAGCTATTCGAAACAGCAAAAAATGAACTCAGTCCGTGAAACCAACGAACACGCTACCTTTTATTAACAGGCGATGGAAAATGTTTCCTGCACATGCGACGACAGAAAACCCAAAGAAAAGGAGAGTGGGAAGTTTTTCCACTCTAGCCTGCACAACCAGCTGCAGCTTTTCACTAATTTTAGGAAAGTGAGGGTATATGATAAGAAAAGCCCAAGTTATTCACAGTGGAAAAATTAGATATCTGACTGCTATCCTTAGGCAAAACATGTATTCATTTCAAAGCCAGCCCTCTTGGACGTGGATGGAGAAGTAGAGATAAGAGACAGAAAACAAAGAAAACAGGACGATTGAAATAATTAGGAACATGCATATATAAGGCATGGACGATACAATATTATCATTGCAACCAACTACAACACTATCACCCTTCGTCATCACGCTCGGATGACGATAAAGTGAAGAGCCGGACGGACACCAGAATAGAGCAAACTCGGCCACACAGTAACGAACAGCTTCCCTGGACAGGAGTGGTCATCTCCAAGTTTGTCCAGCTAATAAATGCAGGGCGTATGCAGGCAAAAAAGAGGCCACAGGGAGAATAAAGAGGAATGAAGGAGGAGCAGAGATTGAGATGACATTGAGAGAAGCTGATTGTTGTGGGGTTGATCGTATCCGAAACAGACGACGCCAAGGGTGCCCAGGCGGGTGGTGACATGGGTTTTGGCGGCTATTAGCCGCATCTTTTATATCGGGTCTTCAAACCATGTTTCCTATCCAGCCGGGATGGAAAGTCAAAAATGGATAGTATATGAAACAGAATTTAACTTAGCAGGATTTACCGTTTTGCGGAATTTGCTTCACTATTCTGAGTTATTTAAGTTTCATATCACCAAAGAGGTTGTCATTGCTACGAAGGTATGTGTGGATTTAAACCAAAACGGGCAGCAGTTGGAATATGCCCACACTTACTATGGTAGAATGCTTCATTATCGCAGGCAGCATTGTGACCCCCATATCTCTTCGTTCCGCCCAATTCAAAATCCATTTTCTTTTCAACCTTTCGTCTAAAGTCAACACTGGTAATACATTATGTCGATGTTACATGATCTCAAGTCAACTCTACAACCCTTTACTTAGTTAGCAGCAGTATGCATGGTGCACCCGAATTTCGAAGAATCGATTTCAGCTTATAGTAAGTGGTGAGAACTATGAAGATTGTTGGTCAATGAACACCTTCCGCTGGGTTTGAGCCTGCGCCTTCCGGTAATACATAGTCCCGGATGGAAATGAGAATCCAACTATTTCCAAACTTTAATTGCTTTGAAACAGGCCAGATAGCTCAGCAGTCTAAACCCTATCTTTATGAATCGATGAGACAGAGGGTTTTCGAGGTCTAGCGAGGGGAGAATTTCTTTTAGTATTGAAAGTAGAGTCAGTCTCCGATACGCCTGGAAGAGAAATATGTCATCTATGAGGTGATATAGGATAGGATAATAATTTCACCGTGAGCGGGTATCAATCTTGATAAATACTTTTTCCTCCCTGCTTACGCACTAGAGGAAATCTACTGCGACGACTTTGTGCTCACCAGGATAATATCCATTCTTGAGTTTACCCAGAGGCGATCGCATGACAACTGCCTTGAAAATATATAGGATTTATCAAAAAAAGGTGAAAAAAGGTCACTCTTAATACCACGAATAATAACCAAGAAGTTCTAACCTATATATAATGGTCACGGGAGACACCATTTCTCTGCCGTCATCTTCCCCTAAGGCATGTAAAAATTTTCAAATCATGGCCATTCATCTGTCCACAGGAACGTGGAAACATATAGTAACCTTTTCAGTTATGGAGCAGGGCATGACGTCCTGCTATAAATTAACCAGCCCTTTGTAAACAAGCACATACGAACATAGGGAGTGGAAAATAGGGCTTCCCGTCCGCTCAGCCGTACTCAAGCCACTCGCCGGCCTGTTAGTAGTTGGGTGGGTGACCACCAGCGAATCCGGGCTTTCGTATGTTTTTTGCGTCTTGTTTTTATTTTTTTGGCTCTGTCCATCCTACAAGGTATTTGCGGAAACCATTTGCACACACCAATTGGGGTTGTTCTTCGTGGATCCCATCCTTGGCCCATCGCTGTGAGCAATGATGCAAATCATAGCCAGTTTCGCCTTCTCAAAACCCACCAAAGATAAAATAATAAAATACACACGTGCGTGCAAAGTGCATCTGGGACTTGGATGACTGAATGCACCCTGTACACGGCAGTTAGATACCGAATTGTCTCGGACGCAGCTCCTTGGCTACTGAGAAATTGATAAGGAGCGCGGGACAAAATGCGACGTGAACGAAGGGTCCAGCGTCACCTTCGCATAAATTAGCGATTCCCAAACGGCGAGTTAAAAGATTTTCTGTGATTTTGCCACTCTAATAAATCTATAGAAATTTTGGGTCGAGGGAAACGTCTGTTTCTTCAGCGTGGACGAGGTGCTGCGCAACATGGACGGCAAGCTAGACGCGTGTGGCTTCATCAGCTTGCAAGCAGCATAGTTAAATAGATAAACTTTGTTCTCCGAGTGAGAGCCATTGTTTCATGGCTCGTTAACCTTTTCTATGCGGAATTTCGCAATCGAGGAGAGATAGAGCATAGCCGGATGTGAGTTAACGACAACAGCGGAACGGCCGGATTTCTTCGCTTCATCCAGGAACACCATTGTGTGTCGCCTGATGGCTAGGAAGAGATTTTCGAGACTTGGGACTTGGAGCTAGCTCGACACAGTCAGTCTGTTGAGCTCGCGAGTCGAGGTGGGGATTGTCTCTTGTCGGTGGCGCGGCCAAGGATCCCATATCAAGGTTGTCTATTTACTCCGTAATCTGTAGTTACAGCGTAGCATGTCAACTTTTAGCTGTCTTTGTTTGGGGCGTCTCCTCCTCTTCATCCTCACCTCCTCCCGTGTCCCCAACCGGCATCTCCTCTCCTCAATTACACTGCTCTCTCTGCAACTATCTTCTCTTCCTCTCATTTTCTTCTAAACGATGCTGGAACACCCAAGATTGAGGTGACCGGCTTATATCATTGCTTCTCACAGTAGCTAGTAGTTGAGCGGAGCCCCCGCTCGATCTCCCCCATTTTCCCTCGACAAACATCGTCGCATACCCACCCAGCTGCGCTTCTCTTTTTACCCATCATTTTGTAGCGTTTTGTGTTTTATTGGTGTAAATTCCCTATATTCCTTTATATATCCCATCACCTATTTTTTTTTTTTTTTTGGCCTGGCCCGGACTTTGCACTGCTACAATCATGTCGGATCCTCCGAAACGAGATATCAAAAACCATGTGCTATTTGAAATTGCAACGGAGGTCGCGAATCGAGGTTTGTGATTGTTTATCTTTGTTTAATTCTAAAATATACTTTCCAATTAAGTATCTAGCTAACCCTTTGTCTTATTTTAAACCAGTTGGTGGAATATACTCGGTCCTCAAATCCAAAGCGCCTGTCTCTACCGCAGAATATGGCGAGAGATACACGCTCATCGGGCCTCTGAATCGGGCTTCGGTATATCCTTTTTTTTTCCCCCTTTTTGTCATTTAATTCCTGATTCTTTTTTTCTTTCAAATTGCCTAGTATACGACTCCCATTGACAATTCCATAGGCTGTTGTTGAAGTCGAGGAACTGACACCGACCGATCCCCATCTTGCTGAAACCATGGTCGCGATGAAGGAGCGGGGAGTTGACATGATGTATGGACGATGGCTTATTGAGGGGGCCCCAAGAGTGCTTCTGGTCGATACAAGTTCGGGATACAAATATCTGGACGAATGGAAGGGCGATCTTTGGAACACAGCGGCTATCCCTTCTCCGGCTGAGGACGGTGAAACGAACGAGGCTATCGTGTTTGGTTATTTGGTAGCTTGGTTCCTTGGAGAGGTATGTGCGGACAAAGCTTATGCCTACAGTGTTGACCAGTCCTCTCAAAATATATACCTTGCTACTAACTAATTATCCCAGTATATTTCCAGAGACAGAACGCGAGCTGTTGTTGCACATTTCCACGAATGGCTAGCCGGTGTCGCCCTTCCATTGACAAAGAAACGACATATGGACGTCACAACAATTTTCACCACCCACGCAACTCTACTAGGCAGGTATCTGTGTGCCGGCTCTGTCGACTTCTACAACAACTTGCAATTCTTCGATGTTGATGCGGAAGCCGGCAAAAGAGGGATATACCACCGATACTGCATCGAACGTGCCGCGGCGCATTCAGCAGATGTCTTTACTACAGTGTCGCACATCACAGCTTTCGAGAGCGAGCATTTGCTGAAACGCAAGCCTGATGGCGTGTTACCTAACGGGCTCAACGTGAAGAAGTTTTCTGCAGTCCACGAGTTCCAGAATCTTCATTCCAATGCCAAAGATAAAATTAATGATTTCGTCCGTGGCCATTTCTATGGGCATAACGATTTCGACCTTGAGAATACTCTATATTTCTTCACCGCAGGCCGTTACGAATATCGGAACAAAGGAGTAGATATGTTTATCGAATCCCTCGCCAGGCTCAATCACCGTCTGAAAACAGCGGGATCAAATATGACGGTAGTAGCATTTATTATCATGCCCGCGCAGACATCTTCGCTCACGGTAGAGGCCTTGAAGGGCCAAGCGGTTGTGAAGTCGCTTCGCGACACGTTGGAGATGGTAGAACAGGGGATTGGAAGGCGGCTATTTGAGCGCTGCCTCAGCTGGAAGGAAGGCGATAATATGCCAGATGAAAAAGATCTAATAACCAGCCAGGATCGAGTACTTTTGCGCCGTCGATTGTTCGCAATGAAGCGGCATCAACTTCCTCCCATTGTGACGCATAATATGGTGAACGATGCGGATGACCCTGTGTTAAACCAGCTGCGTCGCGTTCAACTCTTCAATCACCCTTCTGACCGTGTCAAGGTTGTGTTCCATCCTGAATTCCTCAATTCTTCCAATCCGGTCTTGCCTCTTGACTACGACGATTTTGTCCGGGGTACGAATCTAGGCGTTTTTCCGTCGTATTATGAACCTTGGGGATATACGCCTGCAGAGTGCACAGTAATGGGGATTCCCAGCATAACTACAAATCTGTCCGGATTTGGATGCTACATGGAGGAACTAATAGAAAACTCTTCGGACTATGGCATATATATCGTCGACCGCCGTATGAAGGGTGTAGACGATTCCGTCAACCAACTTACGAATTTCATGTTTGAGTTTGCGTGCAAGAGTCGTAGGCAGCGCATCAACCAGCGGAACAGGACAGAGCGGCTGAGTGATCTTTTGGACTGGAAGCGTATGGGTATGGAGTATGTGAAGGCTCGGCAGCTGGCGCTTCGGAGAGGTACGTTTTATACACGCCGTACACAGCAACTACCTTTGGTAGCACTCAATTTTACTTCTCAATACAAGATCTGACTATTCTTATGTTGCTGTAGCGTATCCAACTTCCTTTGATCCTGCTGAGGACTTCAGCGATATCATCGGAGGCACCGAGCAAAAGATTTCCCGCCCGTTTTCGGTGCCTGGTTCACCGAGAGATCGGACGGGGATGATGACTCCTGGTGACTTTGCATCCCTACAGGAAGGCCGTGAAGGTTTAAGTACCGAGGATTATATTGCCTGGAAGTTACCGTGAGTTTCTTGATCTTCCAATTTTAAGACTACATTTGGAGAATATTTGTGTTATATGCTCCCCCTTTTTCTTTCGCTGCTTAGATAGAAGTTAACTAACAAAATATTTTTCGAATATCCAGTGAGGAAGAGGACGCGGAAGAATACCCATTCCCACTTACGTTGCGAAAGAAGGCTGTCCCCGTCGAACAACCACACTCACCGGATAGGGAGGTAACGACCAATGGCGACAATTCGGTTAAATCGGGATAGGATGAATGAATGTGATGATGAGGACGGATTTAACTACTATATATTTTTAACCTCGCCCTTTTTTTTTCGAATTTTTATAATCGATATTGGATGAATGCCTTGGGAAATGGGCCTTTGATATATTATGCTTTTTCTTCACCCTTACCTCCTCGTTTCTCTCATGTGGTTTCATTTCTTGTAATTTTTGCCCTTCTGCATACGGCCCCCCTTTATACCATATCTACTTTAACCATCCGTATTTGTTATGTTATATCGCTATATAAACACACGTACATACATGATGCATCTGTGGATTTGCTAAGTTATTGTTATCTTGCTTTTTGTTTCCTCTTTATCGTTTTCACTTTTTGCATTTTGTGCGCTGTGCATTTTGTGCGCTGCTCTTTCGCAGCTCTTCTTGCTATTCTGCACTCTTTTCCAATACACACGTTGCCTTTTTATTCTATTACAATTTTTTGCCAATATAACATGCCATTCCTTTCTTTCTCCATTGTTGATCATTAATGTTTCTTGGACTGATAGCGGCATGGAATCTCAGTCATATGCAAACCGAACGGCTTTCGTAGGTTCCGCACCTAGGGTAGTGACAGAGATATGACACTCAATTACGATTCAGGGTAGGGACGTTAGTTAAAAAACGCCCGGCGTTATATACAAGACCAAGGAGGATGTAACAGGAAGAGAAATATTTGAGTAAATCCATGGTGAATTACTGCACTTAGAAGGGAGGACATACACCACCGCCCATCGCCAATCAGGAACAGATTCTTTAGAAACCTTTTGCCTCCGATTATATTTACTAATCAGCAAGCAAAACCACCTTCAACATTCCTCCCTCCCAAAAATCGACACAGCCCAGTAGTAAACATCAGCAATTTTCCGTGCATTCCGTCTTCCTCAGATCATCCTCTTCCTTCGCGCACTCATCGTACAAATCACTGCGGAACAGCCTGTCAATTTTCTTCTTGTTGTCCCTCGTGAAGCGGTCTTGGGCCTTGTAGTTGCGATAGCCGAAATCGTGTCTGTAGCAGCTGGGGAGGAAGTTGAAACCCGGTTTGTCTGGGGAGTGGGAACAGCCGTCTGACTCCCAGTTCAGCGAGGGTGGATCTTTCGCGTTGCGCGCTGCTGTGAATTGGGCCATGGTTGAGGAGAAGAGGAGTCGGTCTGTGGCTTGCTGGGGAGTTTCTGCCCTTATAGTGAGGGTCGATAGATCGCCCGCTGCAGTTGGGGCGGAGAGGATTAGGGTGCACATTGAGCAGGTGCTGAGGATCAACGCGGATTTCATGTTTACTATGCCCTTCGAGGAAACGTGGAGATAGATGCTGGAGCTGGTAGCTCGTGCATATATAGGTCTCTCTGTTGTAGGCGGCTCAACTCGAATAGAATTATCCTTCTCCGGAGGACTGGACGAAGAAAGCCTCTATTAAATAGCTACCTGCCGCTTTTTTCTTTTCTTTGGCATCCCCTATGCTCCTATCAGGGAGGCTTTAAAAGTTGCGAAAAACATGGTATGCTGATCAATACCTAGCTTGGTAGCTGGATCACCAAACGCCCCACGATTCTTAATTACCGCTAGCTGAGGAATCTGCCATTGAAGGTGGACCTCCATGCTGTGTTTGTCTTGGCAGATCATCTCGAGCTGCACAGCATAAGAGGGAGAATCATTGTATTCTTATAGATATCGTGATGCTCTTCAGAGGGCGTAGTGTCCTCATATTTGCCTGCAGATCGTCGATTGTCAAGTTGGGTTGGTTTAAGTGGTTTCTTAGTTTATGCTTGTTTTTGCTTCCATCGACATGGACTGAGGAGACATTCAAAATCAAATTTGGGAGTTGCAGCACGAATAACCTGTTGTTGGGGGTTTTTTGATATTAACCGCAAAATTTCGGCTAGTTTTGATATGGATGCAGCCGGTATTTGATGGGATCCGTTTATATAGAACTCGGTCTCCTGACCTCCACAGATCTGCTCTGGCCACATAAAGAGCCTTGTGCGCTGCTTGTTCTAGCGGGTTTCGAACGAAATGTTTAATTCCAGTTCAGCTTGATGTCAATTTTCCATCCACGGATGTTGCATTTCTCATTCTTGAAGTCATCGGAGGTGCCATCAGTTCCTGCGTCACAAACATGAATTTCGTACCATCTCTAGTGAAAACCCATCTCCGCTATCGATAACGCGTCGAGAACCTAGAGAATGAGAACGACTAAAATGTTTAACCAGGTTAACCCTGCACATATATATTTACATAGTAAGGGAAAGGGAAACAAACAGTTTGTGGAGATGATGCACTACCACCACTTGCAACATGATTGGCCACAGCTTCATAAATCCACATGCCAGGATGGGTGGCTGAACGGTAGGTCGCTAGGTCGCACGCTTGCACAACGTCGTTCGGCCTGTCTGGGGGAAATACGAAGCAAACCTCTCCCTGTGTGAGTTATTTGAGGAGCTTCCATTGGTTTGTCAACTTTTAGCTGCAGGAACCAGGAGAGAGGGTCTGATAATCACGTGTTTTGTGAGAGGGGGATTTGTGAACTGATTTAGTTCTTGAGGATATAGAGTGGTAATCGTGTTTAATATTAACATCTCCCCCATATGGACAAAATGAAAGGGCCCATAGCAGAGGAACTGTTGCAAATTTTTATCTAGCGTTTTGCAGAAGTCACAAAGCAAGCCGATGGGAGGAAGAGAAATCTGACCTCGGAACAACAGAGGTCAAGAAAGGACAGCAAGGCCGATGTGAAACCTTGGATTCTGTTCTGAGAGTTTTTCTTTTTCTTTTCTACTTGCTTGAAGTATGAACAATGCCAGCACAATAATAGGAAGTCAAATGGAGGCTGTGAACGGTTAACAAAAAAGGCAAACATAAAAGGGATTTATATTTAAGTAGAAGGAAAAAGAATCTATTTATCACGCTTGTAGATTTTGGCGAGGAAAGATTCAAACACTGCCTTCTTCAGGCCTTCAGATTCGTCAAGCCTGGCGATCATGGTCCTGATCTTGTCAACCTGCTCTTCCTCAAAGTCACGGTAGACTTTTTCCAAGTTAAGCTCGTTGAAAACAGCTTTAACCTTGGCTTCCATGGTTGCGTCTTTTCGACCGTACGACTCGTCGAGAACCTTGCGCTGCTCAGCAGAGCACCGCTTCAGAGCCTGGTTGATCACCCAGGAGCACTTGTTATCCTGGATATCAGTGCCAATTTTGCCGATCTGCTCTGGTTTGCCGAACACATCCAGATAATCATCTTGGGCCTGGAAGTATTGGCCAAGTGGGATTAGGATATCGTGTGCCTGGCGCAAATTGGACGGTGTCGCGAGCTGAAGATAATGCAGTGCAAGGGCAACTGGAAGATAGAAGCTGTAGTAGGCGGTCTTGTAGATGACGATGAAGTTGAATTTATCCATGCTGAAGTTGTCGAGGTCCACATTGTCTTCAGGCGCGGTGAGCAGGTCGCAGAGCTGGCCCAACTCGGTTTGGAAAGTAACTTCGTGGAATAGTTCCAGGAAGTCAACATATGCGGGGTGTGAACGGAAGTGTTTCTTGAGAAGAACGTATATGACAGATTCGAGCATAAAGGCGTCGTTGATCGCGATCATGCCGACGTTGGGGCGGCGGTACCAGCATGGCTCGCCACGTCGGGTGACGGAGCTGTCCATTATGTCGTCGGAAACGAGGAAAAAAGCTTGAAGAAACTCAGTCATCCACCCAAGGGTGCAGAGGTCTTTGAATTGTTCATCATTCAGGGGTTTTTCGAGCAAAGCGAGACCAGTATCTGGAACAGAGAGACCCCGGTTCAGTTTTCCGCCAGGGGTATTCGCATTGATAGACTAATTTTTTTTTTTTTTTTTTGGCGGTGAGTTAGTCAGGCTCTCAAATTGGTAAAAATTGGAGAAAGATTTTCGAAATACAAACTTTTTCAAACCATTCCCGTGCTACAGACGGAAGACCGTACTGAACGGCATGGTCACTTAGGTCTTTGACGAGTGAGGGGAAAACAGACTCGAAGTCTGCACGGTTGGTTCGAGCGGGCATTGGATTGTGTGTTATTCTTTTGATGGTGAGTGGATATGGCGATCGCGACGCGGAATAAGAATGGGGTATCTAGTTTGGAGGTCAATGGCTGGTATTTACAGGTGTCGCGAGGGGCTCTTCTTCGATATCGGATGTTTGAATTTGGCGGGGATGACTTTGCTGACTGTTTGCATTGTTTACATATATATGTGCACCTTCACATCATGTGTCAGGCCTGTCAATGGCAACCCAGTCCTTGTACTCCACTCTCGAATTTACATTCTTGGGATTTGCGATTATGTATAGTCTTTGCCTTGCTGATAAGGTTGGATATTGGTTTAATCTCCCGGTCGTGAGGTGTTGCATCTAAAGGGCACCTTGCCTTCTCCCAAAGTTCCATCGTCAATAACTTTCTTTCTACTGGCCCTTTCTATGTTGTTTCTGCTAGACTCTCACCCTCCAAAACTTTTACTGTCACTGGGTCTTCTTGTCAATACTCTACACCTCCTGGATTAAGTATGCGTCTTTAAGCCGTGATGAAATCACATCACCTCTCGAGTTCCAGAATGAGGTGCCTTTGTCATGTCTTTCTTCCACCCGTCCGCCAAAATGGATTGATTTTCCCCGAGGATCAGGACCTTGAAAATCTCGTGTACGATAGAATGGCTTTGGTCCATGACTGTTCAACCGACAAAAAACTTAAGGCCCAAGCTCGGAAGGATTGAATTGCATGGGAATAATGGGATATGGGGCCAGAGGAAGTAGTGATAGACATAAACCGGGAAACAAGAAAAAAAACCATCATCTCAGCGCAACGTAGCAGAAACAACCCCCGCGTATTTGAAAAGAGCCCACAGGATCCAGTATTTTGCTATTACACGGTACCCGCTACTATTCTTCCCACAAGCGTCGCACCACGCAAGCATTCTCTCAAGCATCGTCTCTCCTAGTGCCTGCCCAGACAGCGCAAGGACCAGGAGTCCAGGGACAATGTAAGAGACGCGGAGAGTGAAACCCCTTCGCAAAAAATCGATGTACCGAGGAAAGATCCACTACGCTAGCGGTCCATTCTCCAAGTACCTCCATTTTCGATTTGGAACAGTCGTTCCTTAAATTCGTCAAGCTTCCCTTTGATCGCGGCATCCACGACTTCTTTTCTAATCGTACCCACCCACACCTATAAAGTGTTAATAGGAGAATATAACATCGACCCCCCAAAAAAGCATTTACTAAGCTAGGTTTATACTTTCAGGACGGCCACCACTTCCTCCAGACTGGCCGCCGCTGCCTGATTTGCTTTCGCGGAACGCCCTCTGTACCTCTTTGAGGAGCTTCTCCTTCAAGGATTCCATATCTTTATCGTATGACTTATTGTTTGCTCAAGATCTTATTCAACTTTTCCGACCGGGAGATTTTGTCACGCAATTCCCGCTGAAAATCATCAGGCGGGATCTGCCACTTGCAGGGTGCGATTAGCTTCCCATCATTCAATCTGGGTTCTGGGGTAAGGTCTGAGCTAACTCACCTTGAGAGAATCCACCGCTCGACGGGCCTTGTAAACTTCAGACGAAGGGATTGTCTCTAGAAGTTCCTTCATGTATGCGGCTGCTGTGGCCGCAGCGTACGGCTGCCACTGCTTGTTTTTATGGGAATCTGCGTAATTAGAGATGCTTCGGATGACTAGACAGGGAAACTCATCTATCAGTCCCGCAGCTTCTATCTCAACACAGATTATTCCAAGTTCATCGTATAGTTTATTTCGGGTGATGCCATCTTTGAAAACCAGATTGGAAGATCCGATAGTACCATAGTGAATTTCAGGGCCTGCTTCAGATCGTGGCTCACGGTTAACAAGCTTTTCTGGAAGACATGATTTGCAAGTGTTCATTTTTTCTGGGTGGGGGTATGTTGCTTCAAAGAGGAAATCTTTGGCACTTCCCGGGTCGCCTAGAGGTCCTTTTCTCATTCTGGGAAACTTGCTGAGCAGAGTGGACACGTTTTTCATCAAACTGTTGCCTTCTCTGATGTGCCTTGCGTGTAGCTTTCCCGCACTTGATAAGAGCAAGTTTGGAGGCTTCGACAACGCCCCTGTCCGTTCAAACCTTCCGTCCTTATATATCTTACCCCGATCGAACTGAACCACTCCGCCGAAAGTACCTGCGGGCATGCTCACTACATCATCCCCAAGACGGATATCATGTACTTCCTCAACAGGGATAGCACCACCAACCCCACTAGCAAACCAAATCTAATTGACTTGAAGTCATTTAGGGTCTGTGTCACTGTCGTTGCTGCGGCGCTGGTCCCAGTTTCAGGCAACATAGCAACAATGACGTTGTGGTTGCCTATCTGTCCAAGCGTGTAGGCATTCTCAGCTCGCTCCATGGGAATAGGTGGGTGGGTATGTTCTAGCATGCCTTCAACCGCGGCGAATTCAATCCCCTTTGGACAGACAAGTGCAACGGTGTATGAATCTGACGTATATTTTGGCTTTGCTGGCACGCCCATGATGTCTGTCACAACGGTGGGAACAATGAATTAAGATACCACTAATTTTTTTTTGCAGCTCGGAGTTTCAAAGTCGTAGATTAACGCGCAATACCACAAATATAGTGCTCTATAACTTTTAAAGAAAGGGAGTCTCTCAAGAAATGTTGAGGATAAGAATATGGCAATATAAATATCTGGAACTGAATGAGTTAAGAGCTAAATTAGCTCTCACAAAGGACTTGCATGGATAGCCATCTAAGTGATGGGGAGATGTGATGATGTTGGTGGACGGTATCCCTGACGAGTACGCAGGTGTGCCCAATTTTTAATCTTAGTACAGAAGAACCAATTCTTGCACATGCTTTTACTTGAATAATTCAATTCAGATTGAAATAGAATCAATAACCTGTCGATATTCATTTCATGCATGCATGTTCACGTTCTTCAATAGCCACTGACAAGAGGAGAGGTATGTATGTACATGTACATATTGAACAAATGTATTTACACATGGGATGGACTTATTATTATTAGAGTTTAGCAAGAAATTAGCATAGTGGGAGATACTTGATTCTCACAGCCCATAGCAGGGATATTGTCCAAGTCACAGATTACAACGCGTGATGGCACAAAAAATGATTCGTCAAGCATATGTGAAATTTAAATTCAACTCCCATGAATACTCCTTCGTATCACCAATCCTACGTCTGCTTGGCTAGGCCGCCAGCATGCCATATTCAATATCATGCCTTAAAATATTGGCATAGTAATAAACTTCAGAATTCTTTGCTCCTCCTTTCTAGGGGGACAAACCAAAAGCATCCTCAATAGCCAAGCAGCTGATATATCATATTATATGGAACATTATAAACATACATCCGTACGCAGCAAAGCTTCAGGCGTTTGTGCACCCTCATGGCCTGCAACAGTCCACACAGCTGGCGGTCACCAAGAGAAAACGGAGCGCGCTCAGTTTCAGTTAGCGACATGATATTCCGACAATATGGAGCCATGAAACCTACAGTTCAGGAACACCCATCCACGTGCATGTGATACTCCAATTCAATTCATCGGGGTCAGGATGAGTATCTGACCACCATATTCACCGGGGTACCGAGGCGTAAACAACATCCAGTTCAATGGTGACGCCGGCACCAGCGAGATGACACCCACCACGTCCGCTATCACCAAGCGCCCGAGCAGAGGGCCGGGGAATCGAACGACTTTTGTTCAGCAGTTCGTAACAGCAGATCCCCCAACTTGTCTACGTCACCAACCACGTTACATTTTTGTGAGCAACGATATAATAAAGAGGGAACTGTTAGGCCAATGGGGCAAAAGAGCTCAATCACCAGCAGTGCCATGCTGGCAGTAGAACGGACGAACCAATCCAAACGCCCAACAGGAACTAACCGCAATGTATGTCATCGGATACGTTCGGTGCACCAAGGCCCACGCAGGGGTATCATAGCATCTTTCCGGTATCCCCTCGTGGGTAGGTTTTTGCAAAATTAGCGTGGTTTCAATTAGTGTATGGAATTCTGCACCGGCGCCCTGGGCATAACCAATAGAATCCCATATAATTTTATATGAATGATAATTGGTCATTCAGATCTACTGATGAACAATCCCATGTAGATCTCAACAACGCGTTGAGAATCCAACGCGTTTGTACCCCCTATCCGCGAATATAAAGAACCCCTACTCAGGAATATATGGAACACCCCCCCCACCCCCCCCTCGCGAATATGGAACCCCCTCAACCTGCGAACGTGGAATCCACTGAGAAACCTACTAAATCCAATGGTAATTTTGTTATATTAATCAATTCAAATGACCTAGCTAACTAATTTATTCTCTAGTTCATACAAAAATGTCAAGAAAACGAAAACGGCCTATTGAAGAGGTTATTGCAGAACTTCCACCTCTAGAATCAGTGAAATTCCATCCAATACTGCCTGCCTCACGAGATCCAATTCTTAATATTCCAGCGAATATCAATATTAGCAGTCCTTATGCCTTATTTACTCTATTCTTCTCTGAGGAAAGCCTTCAAAATATCAGTGATTCTACTAATCTCTATGCAAAACTAAAGAAAGATGCTAGAGATACTGATGATGAAGCTCCAGAGCTTTCAGAAATAGAGGAGAATGAGGAAGCTCAAGATATAGAGATTTCTGAAATTTCTATATTCTCAAAGCCTTCTATCCAACAATATTCATGGAAAAATACCAATCCAGTGGAGATAAAGGTCTTTATAGGCATTCTTCTCTATATGGAGGTTCATAAATCCCATTGAACTGATCTATACTGGCGGAATGATCTGAAACAGGGCTCTATTCATTCTGTTCAATCCTATATGACCCATACGCGTTTTAAACAACTTAAACGATATATCCATATATCTAACTCCCGTGAAGCCCGCCGCCCGGGGGCCAAAAATAAGGATGATTGGTGGTATAAGGTAGAGCCGTTGGCTACTGAGTTCCATATGGCATGCCGAAAATACTACACCCCTGGCTCCAAGATTTCTATTGATGAGATCATGGTTAAATGCTTTGGACGGAGTCAACATACATACAAGATGCCTAATAAACCAATTCCTCGGGGATATAAGATATTTGGCCTAGCAGAACATGGCTATTTATGGACTTTTTTCTGATCTAGCCGCCGGCAGGGTATAATGCCTATGTTTCAATTCCCTACATTAACAAAAACCGGATCTATGGTGGTGAATCTGGTGAACCGGCTTCCTACGGTATCCACGCTGAATACGCCGAATGCCACGCCGAATGCCACCCCTAATACCGACCCTAATATCACCCCTAATATCACCCCTAATATCACCCCTAATATCACCCCTAATATCAACCCGAATACCACGCCGAATATCAACCCCCCGAATGCCACGCCGAATGCCACCCCTAATCAAATCTCTATCGCACAGCCGGTCACATCCTATTCAATTTATATGGATAACTACTTTACATCAGTTCCTCTATTCAAAGAACTATGTCAACAGGGGTATGGAGCATGTGGAACCACTCGTCCAAACCAGGTTCCAGCAGTACTAGGCGAGCTTTGAGAGCATTCAAATTCCATACCCTGGAATACCCTGCATGCCATTGAAAAAGAGAATGTTCTCTGTCTTGCCTGGCAAGATAATAATATGGTATTGGCACTAACTACGATTCATTCATTGGACGCAGTTATTGAACGTACTCGTAAATGCCCAGGGGAACTCTCAACCAATGCCAATATTGTTAGGAAAGTCTTTGAAGGTCAACCACAAAAGAAGCTGAAAATCCCATTGATTATAGATGATTATAATCATAATATGAATGGGGTAGACCTAGCAAATCAATACTGGGCAGCATATACTAGCCATAGAGTCACCTATCGAACCTGGCTTCCTATTCTCTACTGGCTTATCGATTCCGCGGCTGTCAATGCATACCGGCTTCAATATATATATATGAAGCAGCAAGGGATTCCGGCAAAGGATCTTCCTTCTCATATAAGCTTTCATGAGAAGCTTTATCAACAGCTCTTTGAATTTGCACCTAAGATTCATGATAATCTTCCTATCGAACGATCAAATCCTGATCTAAATCATCAACGAATTCCTCTTTCAAAACAGCGTGTTTGTGCCTGGTGTCAGTATAAACGAAAGATTGGCCAGCAGGAAGGTAAACAGGCAGGGAGATCAAATTCTGGTTGTTCAGGATGTCAAAATACCCCCTTATGTTTGAAAACTCGATGTTGGGCGGAATTTCATAATATATCCTAATATAGATATATTGGCGCGGATCCTTAATTAGGGTTTATATATTACACTAATACCAACAAATACTCAAAAATACACTGATTATTCAATGGGATCTCGTATAATATACACTAATGAAACCACGCTAATTTTGCAAAAACCTACCCACGAGGGGATAACATCCATGGCTAAAAGTTAAATCACACGTGACGTGTGTGGCTGCTCAGGTAACAGATGCAACCACCATGCTTGAGTGAGCTCAAAACAAACTCAATCGAGCCAAACAGCTGGTCCTGCACGGAAGCTGGTCTCGCATAAACCACCGCTCCGTGTGTGTGGAGGCAGTTGCTAAAACCTCTGAAATTCAACGAGTAAGCCTAGCAAAATTTAGCAATGGCAGCCAATTTCAATTCCGATAGCCTGAAGGAGCTCCGGTACCGCTTCGAAGATGCCGCAATTAAATGCTCCGAGAGATGTCTATACCAATCTGCAAAATGGTATGCTAGAGCTTCCTACGTTAAAAGTGACCGTAGCTGTTCACATCGATTAATTTACCACATTACCTAGGGCTGCGGAAATGCTAGACTCTCTAGTTTCGTTCGATGATATCGACGATGGCGCAGATACAGATCCAGACTCTCCAATGGAGATAACTTCTCTCTCACCGCCTAACCCATTTCTACAAACACAAGACCCCGAAGAAGCTGCTTTGGAAGCTCGCGAAAGTAACAAATATATCCTTGCCAAATCGTACTTTGACACACGGGAGTATGACCGATGCTCCGCTGTTTTTTTGCCTCCTTCTACTTCCGCCATCCCACTCGCCCCCATCTCTTCAAACAAAAAGTCCAATGCCCCAGTTACCCCCAAAAAAACGAAAGGAAAATCTACTTCCTTTGGAGGGTCGACAAGCAATGCTACATCTCAGAGCCCCTTGCCGCGATTGAGCCAAAAGTCCCTATTTTTAGCTCTTTATGCTAAATATCTAGCGGGAGAGAAACGGAAAGCTGAGGAAACAGAAATGGTCTTGGGCCCAGCAGATGGAGGCATGACCGTAAACAGAGAACTTTCCGGCCTGGCACAGAGGCTGGAATGGTGGTTTTCTGATCGGAAGGCAAGGGGCCTGGAGGGACAAGGACAGGGATGGCTTGAATATTTATATGGGGTTATTTTGCTTAAGGGGAAAAACGAGGAAGAAGCCAAAACTTGGCTGATTAGGAGTGTTCACTTATACCCTTTTCATTGGGGAGCTTGGCAAGAATTAAATGATCTCCTTGCCAATACCGAAGATGCAAGTACATCCTAATCTCTTTGCACTCCATAACGACCCAAGTTAACAATGGTTTTGCTTTAGTTGAAACGCATCGCTGACCAGCTCCCTCAAAATATAATGACTCTTATATTCCACCTGTATTGTAGCCAAGAACTTTATCAAGCTACGGAAGATACGCACCACATGTTAACGGAACTGGAGAACATATTCACAAACAGTGCATTCCTTAAAACACAACGCGCTCTGCTGTTTTATCATTCTAAAGGTACCACTGCCCTGGCATCCCACCCTCATTACCCTTTTTTAACTTAACCCGTTCGGGTAGATTTCGAGGAAGCATCTCACCTTTTCTCTCAACTCCTAATTACCAATCCCTACCGTCTGGATAGCCTCGATCATTACTCCAACATCCTTTATGTCATGGGTGCGCGACCTCAACTTGCTTTCGTTGCCCAAATAGCAACGGCTACGGATAAATTTCGTCCAGAAACTTGCTGTGTAGTAGGAAACTATTACTCTCTCAAATCCGAACACGAAAAAGCAGTCATGTATTTTCGGCGTGCTTTAACGCTAGACCGTAACTTCCTATCCGCTTGGACCCTAATGGGCCACGAATATATCGAAATGAAAAACACACATGCTGCTATCGAATCCTACAGGCGCGCGGTCGATGTTAATCGAAAGGACTATCGCGCTTGGTACGGCCTCGGACAAGCTTACGAGGTTCTCGATATGGCATTCTACGCCTTATTCTACTACCATCGCGCCGCTGCGCTGCGCCCGTACGACCCGAAAATGTGGCAAGCCGTAGGCTCATGCTACGCGAAAATGGGCCGTCTAGAGCAGAGTATCCGGGCCCTTAGACGTGCTCTGGTTGCAGGATCATATCATGAAACGGGCGGTGCTGGAGGTGTTGCCTCGTTTAATAGCGCAGGCTCAGCCAGCTTACGGCATCTATCCCATGGGGGTAATGCATCAAGTGCAAGACGCATCCTTGATCCGGATACGTTACATCAAATTGCAACTCTGTACGAACGTCTTGGTGACGAAGAGGAGGCAGCAGCGTACATGGAGCTTACGCTCCAGCAAGAAACGGGACAGGTGGATCCTGAGGACGAAGCTGATGATGACAACGACGACGATGCGGATGGGGACAGTGGAAATAGAGCTGGTTCACGTCGCGTTTCTTCATTCACCCAACGCTCTGCCGATGAACCGGATGACGAGCCGGCTGGTACGGGCGTTACTTCTACCACGAGTAAAGCGCGTTTGTGGTTAGCGCGCTACGCGCTGAAATATGGCGACTTGGACCGGGCTGATTTGTTGGCCGGTGAGCTCTGTCAAGATGGGATTGAGATTGAAGAAGCGAAGGCCTTGATGAGGGATGTCAGGGCAAGAAGGGAGGGTGGTAGCATTTAGCAAATTTGGCAATCCACCTCCCTCCCATATGTTGCTCGTTCCCTAATGATATATGATTAATGGTATGACGGCTTTTATGTCTCGTTGCATTATTTATTACTCATGCTTTATTCCCTTAAAACGTCCGGAATGGTGGTTTATTTTTGTAGATGTCATGGTATGTCTATTTGTGAGGTTGTGAAACTCCAAACGAGTCGCAGATATTCCATGCAAGGTTCTTCCCCTGCGTATTTTGTACTGACAGTTGTGCACTACCATATCTTGGCCCAGCCAATTAGATGAGCAAACGATCAAAATAAATGTCGAGTTGTATTGCTCATTATCAAAATCCCCTTACATATTACATATCGCTCATGAACGCGTGAACAATATACACAGCATAAACGCATCTGGCATTACCGGCCCCCGGTATCAACATAGGACGATATCAACGGCGAATATCAAGCTCCAGGAGGAAGGGAGTAGGATAAGCGTATTGTGCCAAAATAATGCCCAAGTACCTGGCACTATACCAATGATAATACCTCTTTCCAATCCCAACTTAACTGAACATCTACGCCCATAGTTGGTGGCGATGGAGAGTCGTTAGCATTAGTTCTTCCAGCTCTACTGCTTTCCTCACAGTCCACATCCGTACTTTTGAAGTCGAATTTCCTTCTCTTCCGCTTCCGTGAAACACCATATCCCCATTCCAAAGACCCAGCAAATAACTGCTTCCCATAGCTCTCCCAACGTTCTCTAATATTTTCGGGATGACCTGCTTGATTTCTTTCAAATAGACCGTGCTGTAACATCGCTTCGCAGCGGAGGAAAATCAATTTCCCCCTTTTCGATGATAAGCGGCCGGTTCGCTGATTGGCAGCAAGTGCGTTACCAATTCGAGCAATGTCACATGCTGCTTGTGATGCCTTGGTGGTATTGGATTCAACGAGGACAATGCCACTACATTTGGGAAATTTTTGTGCCGTGTCTGGATTGCAGTGATGGAAGTGTGATTTGCCTGCGAAGTTAGGATCCAGCAACTTTTCCAGGAACTCCGTGATCGAGGTTGACAAGAGTTTGGGATCCAAGGGGATGGAATCCACTTTATCGCGAGACACTCCGGTTCCTAGTAGGATGGGAGTTTCGGAGAGAAATGACAATGTATCAAGCGGCCCGACGGATAGGCTACTACCCGCCAAACCAAGCTCCAGTTGCGCGAAACACTGTTGCTCTTGGTAAGGATTTTGGCCTGCGCCTTTTTGCTGGTTCGGTTGAGGGGAACAGTATAACCTATCCTCGTCGAGCTTCCTGAGAGTCGTTGAGCATTCTATTTTGTTGCCAAGCCTTGCTGTAGCGACTGCGTCCTCACAGCCACCGACACTGGCATAAGTTGGAATCGGATTGGGTTGGGATAAGTTGCTAATGTTTGCTAGGTGACGATCCCCTAGGCTATCTTGTGAGCGAGACAAGTGAGTGTTTGCTGTGGTTTGGGTATGATCTGAGTGTATTGCGATACACGGTGAGAGCGATCTCGCTATTTTGGGTTGTTTCCTGCTCATTTTTCTGGAGTCTTTTGGGGAAACGTCAATCTCCCTTCGCTTGCCCATTGAAGCTACCACCTTCTGCTTATTGGCAACCAAATGCCTCCCTAAGGGTGTATCGGAGGGCACATTTCCTAAGTTAGTTGGCTGGCTAATAGAAGTCACAGAAATAGGCGAATGTTCCGACGTATCAATGATATAACCCCGCTCTCCATCTACCGCGTCTAGTCTCTCTGCCCACCAGGCGGCGTTCTGCGATAATTCATCCCTAGGGACAGAGTTGGCTGCTTCAGCCAGCACTTGCAGCTCTTCTAGTGTTGTAGCATCTTCAACATCCCGGTCCATATGGATTTTGAGAACACGGGGAAAGCGCAATGTGAAATAGTTCGCTCCTGCCGGCTTCTCAAAGCCACTGCCAACCATTTCAACCACGAAGGGGGTTTTGAACAGAACTTGTACTTTGGGGAGTTGTATCTGATCTGTTTTTATGATAAAAGGGACATCATCATCCACATCACAGCTGCAGAAGCGGCCATATTGATTGAGTGTTCGTAGAAGTTGAATGTTCACATTATGTCGATTGAGGACGTCCACGACACGAAATATAGGCCGCGCATCGTAGGGACATTTTGAACCGGTATCACGGCATCCCACGAAGAATGACGTCCACTTAACACCCTTGATACTCTGGAGTTTTGCAGCTTCACGAGCGTCATATCTCGCTCCTATCAGCGCGAAATCTGCGGTATCCCCAATCCCTGCAATATAGTCCTTTTTCAATTTAATCCAATGCCCAAAGTTGGAGTGCTCTTGCTGTTCGATCATGAAGTAAGGTTCATCGCTGGCTTTCAGAACGAGTCCTTCCCAACGTTGTGATATGGCCGTAGCAAAGGCTGTGGTTAACGTCTCCTGACTCTCTGGCAACGAGAAATTGATATACTCCTGTTCCGCAATCCCAGCACGCCCGTCAATAGGGTGGGAAATTTCCTTCAGTAAGGCCCTGCGTTCTCTATATGACTTTGGTAAACAAGCTTGATCGTCAATCAATAATACATCAAATAGCATTATATATAAATGCTCATAAGAATGTGGCCTAGTTCTAGATTAGCTATCGCACGAGATGCAGTTCTTATCAATATGTTATACGTACGGTGAGTCATTTTCAGTTCCAATGAAGGAGCCCGACCTAATGACATGCTTCCGGAGTTTATGAAATGGCAATATCTTTGATTCCACGTCACTCCAGACAAGAAGTTCTCCTTCTAAAATGCAATTCCTTGATATTTTACAGCCAACTTTTCCAATTCTTAGGCACTCTTTCACGGTAGAATGAATGCCAACTCTGTCCGTAGTTGAGTTTTTGCCACTTTTCGAAAAGATCTGTATACAGCCCGAGCCTTTGGAAAGGTCAACATGTATCTGGCAGTATTCTCCATCATATTTCCGCTCGACGCTCATGGTGCGTTTTCCCGCCATTTTACAACAATGCTTGATGCCCCTGGCTTTATAAAACGTTGGCCTTCCAACTTTTACTCCAACGTCAAGAGATATACGAGAAAAAGCAAAGGAAGCCAGAAGCCTAGCATAGTCAGGATCTGGACGCCATGGAAATCGCTTCATAGGATCACGGCTCAATAACGCCACAGCTGCCCCCAGAGAATCCTGCAGTAGCAGCAGCTCGGGAAGAAGGAAATGGAAATTTTGAAGGATCAAACGAGCCGGTAAGGTTAAAGGACTGAGATCTTTCAAAATAATCCTTACAAGCCATTTCGCCTCACGGCTTGTCAGGTGTCGTAAAATTGGTCCAAGAACTTCATCCACGCCGGCAGCGGTTCGCCGTCGCCTCACATCCGGGCCAGAGAACCGACATCTCGACGCAATATGATTTACGGCAGCATCAATGTCTTCAACGGTTATGCCGGAGTCTTCGGGGGTGTCATTTTCCTCCTGCCTCATCATCCTTTCCACACCCTGGCCCGGATCACCGTTCCCGCAGATTTGTACGAATCCAGGGCCTGCCTCCTTGAAATCCCAAGTAGAAGACACCTGCCAATGATCTTTACAAGCGACGGCTCCTTTAATCCAAATACTCTCTCCGGTCGCCTCTCCGGTAATAGACATGACAACAGAGCAAGGCGGTCCGTCTCTCCACCGAGGATTTGTTTTCCGTGCTGGCTAAACCAGTTGGCAATGGTTGCGACGTCTGGGTTTCTATGCCTCGACGCCGTTGAAGCCCTCAGAGTGAGATTATTTTCGAGGCTCGTAAATAGGTCGCACACATAAGAAAATTTAAAGCCCATGACAAAAAGAAAATGGCAGCAAAGCCTTAATGCAGTCGCAACAAATATTACCTGAAGAAGCGCATCACGCACAAAGTGTGAATGAAAATAAATAAGCGAGGCGTTATGCTCAGCAGCGCATTAGATGGAAACAAAGACAATAATACGAGATAAAATGTACGTGACCCCAGTGTAATTATAGTATTATGGTGACCATTAAGTCTGGATATTGTTGATGTTTCAATTTTTGAATAACGTCAAAAGCGATGTTACCTTCCTCAAGCAACACGAAAATCCGCCAAATCACATGACTGTGTGTTGCGAAAGGTTAGCTAGGCAGGGTTCAACCAATTTATTCGTTTCCGTGAGCAGCAAAGCCCAAGTATGCGCCATAATGGAACAGCTATTAGTTACATATACCAGGTTGGAGAGGCAGTTGTATATAGGTTAGTCAGGAAAGCGCTTCATTCAAACGCCTACCAGTACTCCGTGGTGACCCCGTATTTCTAACCGCCAGTGGTAGTTTGGTAAAATACATGGATGAAAAACCCTTAGCAACAAAAAGAAGCATTTTACAGGATCCCTTGCTTCTGGAGACTGTTTTGTACATTGTTAGCACATTTCCAAGTACAAAAATAAGAGCGCAGGGGATACGTACTCGAGATAAATTCGCTCTGGCATCACATTTCCTTCAGCATCCTCCATTTGCACCACGTTTTCTCGAGACTCCTTCTCCTTCTTCCGATCCTGTTCAAGCTTCTCCCAGAGTCTCAGCGCTTCCTCTATTTTCGTGATCTCTCGGAACAAACTGGTTTGCTGTGTGATTCCAAGGCACCTTAGTCCGTAGATATGTCTAGCCTCTGAAAAGTGTTTGTCAAACGCGCGTCGTCCCATATAGACAAAGTTACCACAAATTTCACATGGCAACTCCACCCCTAAGCCGTGCAGCTTGTATAGCCAGTAGGGGATTGGTTTTCCATCCCAAGCCAGCGGTAACTTAAGGGGATTGTATATCCTCTCCTCATTATCACTGTCGGAATCAGAATCGCCGTGACGGATCCCAGGTGGCTCTGCACTCTCTGCAAACAGCGCATCGAGCTCCATTTGCCGCTCTCTCTCCGTCATTCCCTGCTTCCGCTCCACATTAATGCGCGTGGCATTCCTCTCTTCCTTAAGGGTTGTGGCCAGCGATCGAACACGGTGTTCTCTTTCCGCGATTGCACGCTCCTTCAAGCGACGAACTGTAGCGTCGCCGCTTGTTCGGGGTGCTGAGCCATTGATGGCAGTTCCAGAAGCCTTACGGGCCTCCGCAGCGCGGATGTGTTTCTTCCCAGTGAGGTGATTTTTGTATACGTTTTCGTTTTTAAATTCCCTCTCGCAATCTGTACACCAAATTCCTTCACCTGTTCCTTCAGTCTTCGGGACAAACGAGGTTTCCGTTGTGGATTCGTCTTCCCAGCCAGGAACTTTGCTTTCTTGCCATAGCTTTTCAAACTCTTCATCGTAACCATTAAAAAGCTTTTCAAGAGGTTCCAGAGGTTTAACTCGCTTTATAAAGCTCTCTAAGTACGCAGCAAGATCACCGACATATTGGAAATATTTATCAGTGAGCTTGTTGCTTCGCTTGATGGGTAGCTGAGGTTGTGTGAACGCGTCGAACAGGTCAAGGTACTGTAGGTATGTGAGCCGTTTCACGCCTGGTAGATTGAGGTAGTCCTCATGGAGTTTCGTGAGATCGAAAAACTGGCCATACGATTCTTCTCCGGTAAACATATTTTCCACTTCCATTCCAAACCCTTCACTCTCCCCCGGATGCCTTCTCTTGTATGCTCGCTCGAGATTTTCAACATGCTCGTTAGGGTATCGTCGGTGGAAATCTTTGATGTCGTCTAGACGTTTGTAGAATTCATCAAAAGGCTCACCGGTTGAGATGGCCTGGACCTCCTTTGCTCGCAGTCCTTCCGCATCTTTGTAAATATCCAGGAGTCTTTCCGATTGTTGCTGGATTCGATTAAGGAAACCTGCAATCTGGTGGTCTCGGCTTAACCGCTCTCGGATCTGCAGGGAATTGGTTATTAAAGCTGCGTGATGTGAGAAACAAAAGGTAGAGGAGAGTGGGCTTACATTACGGGGCTCGTCCGCTACTCGATCACTGATCCCCTGCTCAAGTCTCTCTAGATCTTCATGGATAAATCGCTGATCTTCTATTATCATGGCTGCGACGGTTCTATGGCGTTTTACTTTTCGACATCGGCTCTGGAAATTTGTTCCTTTACAGGGTGAATTAATTGCGAGCATTTGGTAACTTGGCAAAGGCTGCGCGCCGTCACATGATCTAACAAACAAAGCAAACTCTGCAGAACTTTGTTCAGCACAATCTCGAAGCTTCAATTCGTTCTTCAAAGCAACATCAAAGGGAAACCCTATATTATTCTAATTTACTGATCTAGCTTGAATCCTTGAATACTCATTATGGCGGACGGAATCGATAGAACGGCGGAGGGTACGTATTGTCCCCTATTTTCTTCGCAGCTCTTCTCTAACGAACACCTGTGACAGAGAGGATGGAGTTTACAACATCAAAGGAGGTGACTGTCGCGCCAACCTTTGAGGATATGCACTTGAAGGAAAACCTGTTACGTGGAATTTATGCGTACGGATACGAATCGCCTTCAGCTGTGCAGTCTCGCGCAATCGTCCAAATCTGCAAGGGCCGCGATACCATCGCGCAGGCCCAGTCAGGCACTGGTAAAACTGCGACATTCTCAATCAGTATTCTACAAGTCATCGATACAGTTCTGAGGGAAACTCAAGGTCAGTTTTCTCCTTCCTCACGAATTTTCCAGTTTTTAACAAGTTTGTATATAGCCCTTGTCTTATCACCAACACGAGAGCTTGCCACCCAAATCCAATCCGTGGTTATGGCCTTGGGGGACTACATGAATGTCCAATGCCATGCGTGTATCGGCGGCACTAACGTTGGTGAGGATATCCGGAAGCTGGACCATGGCCAGCATGTCGTTTCGGGCACCCCCGGCCGTGTTGCCGATATGATCCGCCGTCGCCACCTCCGAACCCGTCATATCAAGATGCTGGTACTTGACGAAGCTGACGAACTGCTAAACCGCGGGTTCCGCGAACAAATCTATGATGTTTACCGTTATCTTCCTCCTGCCACTCAGGTTGTGGTCGTTTCTGCAACTCTCCCCTATGATGTTCTCGACATGACCACAAAGTTCATGACTGACCCAGTTCGCATTCTTGTCAAGCGTGACGAGCTGACCCTGGAAGGGCTCAAGCAATACTTCATTGCAGTGGAGAAAGAAGAATGGAAATTCGACACCCTTTGCGACCTCTACGATACACTCACAATCACCCAGGCCGTGATATTCTGCAACACGCGACGCAAGGTAGACTGGCTTACGGATAAGATGCGCGAAGCCAACTTTACCGTCTCCAGTATGCATGGCGAAATGCCGCAAAAGGAGCGTGATAGCATTATGCAGGACTTCCGTCAAGGAAACTCTCGCGTTCTTATCTCCACTGACGTCTGGGCTCGAGGTATCGATGTGCAGCAGGTATCTCTAGTCATCAACTACGATCTTCCCAGCAATCGTGAGAACTACATCCACAGAATCGGACGAAGTGGCCGCTTTGGACGGAAGGGTGTTGCTATCAACTTCGTCACGAGTGAGGATGTCAGAATCCTCAGAGATATCGAGTTATACTACTCTACCCAGATCGATGAGATGCCAATGAACGGTACGTTATTTTACCTCCGTTACCGGCCGATGTCGCGTTTGTCCCTGTGGCTAACACAATCCAATAGTTGCCGACCTTCTCACGTAACTACGCTATCGTGGAGCACAAATGTAGAGCATACCTTTCCTCTTTTGTTGATGAATGCATTTTCGAAAATCCAAATTGGCATTTGATTCCGTTCGCCGCCAGTGAGGTCCGAGGTGGGTAGACTCGCGGCTCATTCTTACCGCATTGAATGTCCTAAGATGCGAGTAGATAAGGCCAGTGGAACTTGTGGAGGAAACGGGGTATATTTTAAATTGGTATGTTCGGACATTTTCCATGAATTCACAAACGGACTCCTTCGCTCTATTGATATTCCCTAATGCAGCTTGCTCTGTGAAATCGAAACTGACATCTCACTCCGCTCCATAACCTCTTTGCCAGGAATCCTTTTCTTTTTTAGTGAAATTAACTCACTAACGTCCTCCATTGGTGTTGTCAATGACATGCTACTACCCAGATCCTAATCCATCTGACCCTCGATTTCTTTCTTCTTCCTAAATCCAATATCCAAATTGAGATATCTTAAGAGTCCCAATTTTGAACCGTCGAGTATGACACAGTTATTACCCTGGGTCCATTCGCTATAATGAAAACTAGGCAATGAAACCTTCGCCGATTCTGCCAATCCATTGAATCTCTTAATTCCAATGATCTCTGTTATCTTATAGAACTGGATGTGATACGGGTAGTGCTGTGACTGTCAATTAAGTAGGTAGTAAAAAAACAAGGGTTCACACGTTTGGTGATTTAAAAATGAAAAGAGTAAACAAAGGGTGTTCAGGCTCCTTAACCATTTTCCTTTCTCTCTATTCGAGAACGTGTAGACTGTACAAGTTAATTGAAGGAGCTGCTCCCCCTAAACCCTGTAGAGACATCACGGCTTTATTCGCCAGTTGACTCTTCCTGCGAGCATACGATCTCTCCTACATAGGGGATAATTCTCGTTTCTACCTAACTATCTAACTATCATTTCCTCAAACAAGCAGCCAGGCATTCGGACTCCTTTAGTTCTGCTAGTTCTTTTTTTTTTTTTTTTTTTTTTTTGCGAAACTCTAGATATGTCCCGTCCACACACACACACACACACACACACACATATATATATATATTGTAACCATAAGACGGTTATCACTCTAAATGTGAAACCCTCCGACTGGCAGGGTCGTTAATTGGCCCATTTTAGCGTTTTCTAATCAATTGTTGCCAGTAACGGGGGATGCAATGTTAAAATGAAAAAAGGAAATGGATACAAAACATGCAGCCCAAATGCAAACAATAGCTATGTATACAGTACGGGGGTATCAGTTGATAGTGACTGAATTATTCCAACAGACCAAACAGCCATTGAGAAGGCAAACAAACAAATATTTATGTAACTCGGATTCTATATATAAGTATATGAATCCGACAATGAGAACACATCAACGTAATGTATTACCCTCCATCCTCCGTAGAAATACCTGGACATTGAGGTATCATATTTACATATCATTCCACCTTAAAAAGGCCTATATTATCCTATATCACAGTTTGTTGCTGCTTCCTACAGGTTTCAACCACGTTCCAATATAGTCATAGCCGTGATTAAGACAAATCATAACTCCCTTTCCTCCAACCCCCAGCCAAGCTCGAAGTTCCAAGCTCCAGTTCAAACCTGGCTCTTAAGTTCAAAAAACGAAATAAAAAGCACAGAAATAAACCCGCCACTGGAATACAAAGGATGGGAGAGGGGTCGAACAGCAACGGAGCTGGCGAGTTCGAAACAGCAACAAAATGTTATGAAGGCGAGGGGATGGTCAAGAGGCGTGGGATGAATTAGACCTTACATACATACATTCATAGCAAAGCGGAGGGGAAAGGGAAAATCAAATCAAAAAATAAAGACAGATGGAGAGGTAGTGGAGAGCCGGGGGGTAAAGGTTAAGGTCTGGAGATGGGGAAATGGAATAAATAAAACTGCAAATAAGAAAGCCCACATCCCACCCCTTTTCCCCTTTCGCGTCTTAAACCCTGCACCAATGATGCTAAAAGAAAAATCAAAATTAAAAAGATAAAAGCAATAGGAAAAAGAAATCTCAATAAATTCTACCCAGTAAGAGAGCCAACTTCAAAAGCAGCGTCCATGAATGCCAAATCCGTGATAAGGAATAATAAAGCGAAATAGTTATGTTGAAATTTGGGGTCGTGGAAATGAGTATGACTATCGGGTTTAAAAGTCGCAACCGCAACCAAAAAAGAGAATAAGTGGGGTTGTTGGAAGTAATTAAGAGCGGTTCGGAGGGAAAAGGAAAGGGGAAAGATAAAGGAAATAGGAATATATATAGATATATAATCTCCAATCGGATGCCGTGTATTTGTCTCTGGAGAGATGTGAGTGGCGGGATAGGTCTCCTTCTCCCCATTCTCTCTGTATGACGCTCCGTGCATGTGCGCGCTTGAGGCAGTGTTTGATCATGAGGTAATATACTTGGCTTCATTGATACTTGGATTTGTTGATTGCACCAAAATAAACAAATGCAATTCATACAAAAATAAAGTGGGGACGGCCGAGAGACGGGCTGTTTTCTGATGTCATGGAAGGGGATGGTGTAGTCATGTATGTGGTTCCAATTAGGATTTGATGCAAGGGAGTGAGAGCCACTATTTATCTATCTCGAATATTCAGGAGCGCGTTCGCACAGGTATAGCACGATTTGACTAGCTTAGAAGTTCGGGGATCGATTGAATGTAGACCGTAGCGCGCTTGTCCGTGCCGAACCGTTCGATGATACCATCCGTACTTTCCCAGAAACGGGTGTGCGGGTTGGTGGATCTCTTGTCCATCTGGCAGTGAAACAGCGTATTAGTTAAATTTGTAACCAGTGCATGTCAATGGGGTTTTTTCCGACAAAAACTCACATTCGAACTTTTCGGTCATCCCCTGCAGAAGCGAACATTCCGGGATCCTTTGGATTCCACGATACAGCATTGACGCAACCTGCACCGTGACCCTGAAGTGTTGCAACGAGCGTCGAATTCTCCTTGTGCCAGATGTGGATTTTGGAATCTATCGAGTTGTCCTTTCTCAGTAACGTAGAAAACCGGTGTATGAGGCGGACTTTTATCGGCTTACCTTCACTACCACTCACGACGAAATTCTCCGCAGCGCCACCAAAACTATTTCTGATAATATAATTATAGTTCCCTTGCTTCTGCCCCAAATACTGTCGGGCAACTTCCTTTGTTTCGATGTCTAACAACTGCATTTCGCATTCCGAGGTGTTTAGCAACATATATCTCGAATCCAGGCTTATATTAATGCATGTGAGGTCTAGCTTTATGGACATATTATATTCCTCGGCTCGAGTCTCGAAATTGTAGACGTAGATCCTTTTCTCCGTGGATATGGCGATGAGTCGACGGCCGTCGGGAGATATGGCGCAGTCTCGTACTCTGTATTGGCCGGTCCACTTGTAGAGGGATTCGCCTGCCACGCTCCAATGGCAGAGTTGGGATTGGCAATCAAGGGAACCGGTGACGAAGGAGTCACCATTTGGTGCCCATGCGGCAGAAGTTACTGGCTCATGATGGTGATCGATGGTAAGGATACAATGCCCAGTCTAGATGTGATCGGTTAGTACCGAAAACCAAGTTTGAAAGTAGAGAGTTAAACATACTTCCACATCCCACAGCCGAGCTTTATAATCCTGAGAGCAGCTGATGAGCTTGGAATCATCAGGACTCCATGTTGCATATGCAACTGGGCCGCCATGGTCCGTTAGTCTGTGGATGACGCTGAAAGTTGCAACATCGTATATGATCACGATGTTCTCACGGCCAGTCGTTGCAAGTTTGGTGCCATCATGGGAAAATTCGAGATACCAGACCTCATCCGTATGTTCACTCAGTTCGAAGGATGTTCGCAAAGGGAATTGGGCTCGGTCGCACTGGTGATCTGAATAAAGTGAAGGGGGTTCAGCGGTGTTGTGGTATAGACATTGGTTGATCTGAGTCTGTTTAACTTGGTCCAGCAGAGCTGCTAATCTGTGATCGGGAATCATAACAGCAGGCGATATAGATCCTAGATTAAAGAAAATTAGGATCATTATCACGGTGAAATGGGGTACTTTTCTCTTTCTCTTTTCTTTTCCATTTTTTTATTGTTATTCCATGGTAGCTTACTTGATAGCTCGCCTAGCAGCCTCTGCCGTGATTGCAGTACTGTACCATCCCAACCCGCTTGCGCTCGTAAATTTTCTGCGGGGCACATCAAAAGACTAGCAAGCGTTAGCAAGAAGATATGGCATAACTTGTTTGTTTCGAAGTATCACACACCTGGAGAGTGCATGTAGCTGAGCGATATCGTGGTTTAACGGCGTCAACTCCTGCCGGAGAACCATCAATGCCGTTCCAAGATCTCGTTGCTCTAGCAATTCGAGGAATTTTTGTTGCCTTAAACAGAAGAGCATCTCATTTCTATCTGCCCCCTCAGCTAAAACAAGAGGGCCATGCTCAGAAAGCAGATCGGTGTCGGCCTTACGGAGAATAGCCTTCCCTCCGCCTCTACATTCCCCTCCACTGGCCCCATTTCCTCCTCCATCTGGATGATACGAGCCAAGCAAAATATCCTCCGCATCTGCCCACCGTCCATCAAGTACTGATGACCTAAATGAAGCTGCAGCGACGCTTTCCAGCTCAAACCCAGACTCCCGGCTCAGAGTACACGCAGCCTCGTTGTATCCCAGATCATGTAAGCTTTGAATCAGGATCCTCGTCACCTCCTCCCGATCATGGCCAAAATATGTAGGTGACAGAGATGCGGGTGACTTGCCCGAACCATTTGCTTGGGATTGGCCATTAGAACTGGAATGAGGAGATCTGCCGTTAACTGAGGTGGAAACAAGGGCTTTCAAGGAAGCGGTTGAGCCATTTGATTTGGGAGAAAACCCGTTTGCGTTTGAAGTTGAAGCTCCATCGTCGGGACGCATGTTGCTATCAGCCAGGCGCCTGCGCTTGGGGGAAGGAGGAATGTCGTCCCTGTTGCGACCCCTACTTTGCTCTTCAGCCAAATGTCTGCGTCTACCAATATTTCCAGACCTCGACCCGGGCCTCTCAGGTTGATCAGGAGGAGTTCGTTCCCGACGACGGCGGCGGTTAGTCGGGCGGGATCCAAGCTGAACAGTCTCACTACGATCGATATGTAAACCTAAGCCTGGAAGCCTCGAGGGTAATTCGTTGCTTTGAAGGGATTGAGGAATATTCTCGTGAGTGATCTGGGCACTAGATGGGGTCGAGGAATGGTGTGTGACTGAGCCTGTAGGAGTCGGGATGCTCGTTGAAGGTACGGATTCGATGCTTGTAGAGAGGTTGGAGGGGCCGGAAGCGGCTGAGGCGGGAGTATGTGAAGGAGATTCGTCTGCCAGATCGATGTTTGCTACTTAGCCCTCTCAGCCTGGCTCTATACAGAACCAGCTGAATAGGCCTCTCTGGTCAAAGGAAGCGTAAAGCGCTGTGCAGCCAGATTCGAAGCTCTGGAGCTGGCTAAACGCCGCGAGCTTTTCTGAACTTTGAATTCGTGATGATGCTAGATTCGCAGTGCCTGATAAGCTGGTATGCTTGATTGGCTTGCCTTGGGAGGGTTGGGCATGAGCTTCTTACGTCTGCAAAAATGCAGTTGATGTTGATAACTGATCGGAGGAACCAGGATGAGGTAATAATAGTTTGGGCGAACCAGAAATTTGGGGAGGTACCCTGGGGCAGCAACAACACCTGAATTGCAACCTTGAGAACGTTATGGTAAGGGTGAGATATGGTCGATGGCTAGGAGGTTGACAAAACTGGGGCCAACTAGAATATTGCTTTGCTGTCGTCGTCGTCTTCGTGGGGTGTGGAAAGCGAGGAACCAAGACTGCAGTGACCGTCAGCGGTTGCTAACTGGTTTGGTCAGTATCAAACTGGAATTCTATCAATCGTTAATTTGACGAAACAACCTGGACAGAAGCGACTCATAAGAACCAGAGATGGATTTTCTGCTGGAGAATAGTCACAGTTACAGACTGGAGAATCAAGATCCAGAAACGCAGCAGATGAAGCTGGAACAATTATTAATAGTTGAGTGTGAGTTATTTGCACATGATGAAGCTGTATTATAACTGTACGGAGGCACTTACACTTGTGTACGGAGTATTGGCTAACTCAATGACTGTTTCATCGAAGTGCTTGTACTGTACTGTACCATACGCAGCACTCGGATGATCCTTATCAGAGATACAGATACTGTACACAATAAAAATACAGGAGGTATCCCGGTGACGTAATATTACATTCCTTCCCTGTGAGCTCGCTATCAGTCTGCTCAAAGCAAATATCTCATATTATATACGGCTCTTGTCACGCAAAGCGAAGAGATATTCGTTGCAGTTCAAGCTCTAGCTGGTTGTTTCTTTTCGGACTCTTCTATTCCGTGTTGGCTCATAGATTAATCGCCTCTGCACCCCACCAATTTAAGATGATGTCTGGCCGACTCAAGATTAAGCTTCTCCAAAGATTGCTCCTAATTTTCATACCCCAGCATACCGAGGGCTTGTTACTCGTTTCGTTCGAGTCTAGACAACTTCGAAAAATACAGACAAATTGGCTGGTGGCAAGTAGTAAGTCCTCGTAAATAGTATTGATGATAAACTGTCAAGCACCTGATATTTGCACACAGCCCACTCTCACGATCCTGTCACCAGGGTCTGGCGAGATATTTTCTGATCACCACTCTCCAACCCAGCGCCAAAAGAAATAATGCAGAGCTAATGTACTCTCTGCCCCTCTCCCTTGACCTGAGTCGGTCCGTCCCCTAACAGCCAAAGACTTGTTCACGCGGGACTGGAATTAGGGAAGTGTGATACGGCGTGGCGCTTCCGAGAACAGGCCTAGCGTGAGGTTGATAGGTGGTTATAAAACTACTTGTCCCGCGTTTCAGGGCAATAATAATTAACAATGCTTTGCTTCAGGACAGGATAATGAATGAACGAATTGCCCTTTGTCATTCGTTTGTTAGCCGGAGACCTGCAGAAAGAGAAGAAATGAAATTTCCTATCTACAAGTCTAACAGAACTTCAGGGCGAAAAGAAGGGCTGTGTCCTGGCTAATTTAGCGTACCTTGACCTAATCATGTGGGCAGGGCATTAAATTTGGCTTGGGAACAAAGTCCTGATACGTCTTGGAAATGGTGATAAAACCCGTTTCATTTCATGTTGGCCAATTCCCAAAGGATTTGGGGTTATTAAGCTTATGGGGCATGGTGCCTAAGCCTTGGTTGATAAATTAGGAGTTCAATCCCTATGAGGTGTGGAAGTTATCAGAGCCCTAGTATTGTTTAGATTTCTACAGAGTAGTGTGTGCAAGGACATATTCCACACCCTCTACGCTTTATATTCAACCTCTTTTTCTCCTCTGCTGGAACCTCATCGCGGAAAACCCATTGTTGACAGGTGGCTGATCGACTGCCAGATCTATCTCCTGTCTCATCACTAAAAAGATATAATTCTTCATATGGCAGATTCACCTTCCACAGTAAACTGCCTTTCAGCATTAACCATCAACAGAATGGGTGAGAGCTGGGACTCTGAAAAAGGGAAATCTCCCATGAGGAACTAACAAGACATACTCGTGGCCGACAGGCCAGTTCTCACAATAAGCGTATTATAGGAGCTCCTTACTTGAGAATAAGTCTGCTCAATGTTCTTATCTGGCTGCCGCTGCCCGCCATGGAAGGGTCCGTCTTCGAGACGTGAATGTATTATTGACGTCTTGTAGCTTCAATAAACGTTTGGTGCTGTTCCTGCCTCTGCATATTTGACGACAAAAATCTCATCAGCTCATTAAATATCAAAAATGCCAAGTAACTACTGCGCATATCTAAGCACTCGTCTTGAGTTTGCTGTAGCTTCATCTGAATAAAGCCCATCCAACCCATCTAGTTCACTCTGAGAGAAGAGCCAGCCTGTCGTCTAGAGAGTGCCAATGATCAATGGACTTTTCATCAAGAAATGTTCAATAAATCTCATGGAATGTGAAGCTCTTTCGCACAGTGAAACGGATTCAAAATGTCAGAGCATGCCATTGTTTCTGAGAGATGCAGTAAATCCATCAGCATGCCTTTCCAACACCTACATCTCCTCACAAAATTGAAGGGCCTCAAGGAAACTACGGATCCTCGGTGAGTATCAGACTCTCCAATGGCATTCAGACCTACCTGCCTTCCAGTCCTTCGATTTCAATCAAAATTGGATGGTCTCAGTCAATGCTCCAGGTCACATACAAGGTTTGTGCAGAGGCTGGTTTTCAGAGGGAAGAAATCAACAGTTCTGGATAAAAGCTGGCTCAGAATCTGGAGAGTTGGGTTTGAATCAACTGAGAGAATTATTGTAAAGTACGCAGCTGGTGTGCGGGTTGCTCTAGTCGCAAGGCCCCTTGCTACAGTATCAAAAACAGCCATGATGCCGCTGAGCTTTCAGGTTGTTATACGGAGTAAACCACCCGCCCCATATTGCAGGTACAACAGGACTAGAAATGGGTATGCAGTTGCAGGTTCCCGTCAACATGTCAAGGTGGTGCGGGATAACAACAACAATCCCAGTCTTGGGAGTTCTTAATCGTCTCATAATAGCTCGCCTATCCTCTCCAAAGGAGAATTCAAGAGAAGTCTGTATCTATGGGGGTGTGCTCAATGAGTTTGAAACCCTTGACGAACAGAAATACTTGGGTTTCAGACTAATCTCAAACCATTTATTTCTTGTGAAGTTGTGAAGAAGCGTTAAAATCAATATTTGGATAATATTCAAGACTTCTGCGAATTCATGGATATTTCGTTCATTTAGACAGTTGTTTGGCTTTGATTTTGGGATGGTGGACTGAGGAAATATTTGACGATGCGGTTGGAGTTGTCGGTCGACTGAACCTAAACTGACTTTTGTACCCCAATCAACAACTAGGCCACATAATTCAATAACCACAAAACGGGATTTAAGTCCCTGGTTCACACATGCTGGGCCTAGGTCGACCATCGTTATTGAAGTCACGGCCATCCCTCATAGATCTCATTGCTCCCAAAAACCAAACATACAGCCGTCCCTCCACGACTATTGCTGCGTCGCTGGAAGATCCACCTGCGCTACAACGCAACGTCCTTCCAAGCTCCAACCAACTACACCACAACTACAACCACACCGCCTCAACCCCTCCAACGAAACCCCAGCTCCCCTCCCCTCTCCCAACCCCGATATTCCGCAATCCCCACCTCCCACGATGCCGCCAAAGAGCTCGAAGAATCCTCGGCCTGGCGCCGATGAGGGGAAACATGGCTCTATTTACTCTGTCTCCCGGTGCTGTCGTGGTTGCGGAGAATATGATCGGGTGCGCCATGTTCGAGCTGGTAAGTATCCACTATATATTTATATATATATATTATATCCTTTCTCCAAAAAATCCCACCACCTGAAGTCATATTTGCTGATCTCAATACACATTTGCTAGTGTCGAGTGGGCTATGACCAACTCGTTGGAGAAGTCATTCGAATCGATGCAGATAAGGCAACAATTCAAGTTTACGAGGAAACAGGTGAATATGATACAGGACAACCCCTCCAAACGACACACCTCGGACTCAAAACTGACTCGCATCCTCTTGCCTTCCAGCTGGAGTAACTGTCGGCGATCCGGTCGTGAGAACAGGGAAACCATTATCTGTAGAACTTGGGCCAGGATTGATGGAAACCATCTATGACGGTATTCAACGACCCCTCAAAGCCATTTCAGACGCTTCCCAAAGTATCTACATCCCCCGCGGCATCTCTATCCCAGCCCTCGACCGAGAAAAGAAATGGGATTTCAAACCAGCAAACTTTAAAGTTGGAGACCATATCACCGGTGGCGACATATGGGGTAGCGTGTGGGAGAACAGCTTGCTGAACGACCATAAGATCCTGCTTCCCCCTCGCGCGAGAGGGACCATCACACGCATCGCTGGTCCGGGCAGCTATACCGTTGATGAAAAGCTCCTGGAGGTTGAGTTTGATGGGTAAGAAACAGGAGTTCGGTATGTCCCACGAATGGCCGGTCCGTGTTCCTCGTCCGGTCAGCGAGAAGCTGGCTTCTGATACTCCCTTCATTGTTGGCCAGCGCGTCCTTGATGCTCTCTTCCCCAGTGTTCAAGGTGGAACAGTGTGTATCCCCGGTGCGTTTGGTTGCGGGAAGACTGTTATCAGCCAGAGTGTCTCCAAATTCTCGAACAGTGACATCATAGTGTACGTTGGGTGCGGTGAACGTGGAAATGAGATGGCTGAAGTTCTGATGGATTTCCCAGAGGTAGGATGCTTTCCACTGACTTATTTTCAGGATTGGGACTAACTGGTGCCACAGCTTTCAATCAACATTGACGGCCGCAAGGAACCAATTATGAAACGTACATGCCTCATTGCCAACACTTCCAACATGCCTGTCGCTGCCCGTGAGGCCTCCATCTACACAGGTATCACGGTCGCGGAATACTTCCGTGATCAGGGTAAAAACGTCGCCATGATGGCAGACTCCAGTTCTCGCTGGGCTGAGGCCCTCCGTGAAATTTCAGGACGTTTGGGAGAGATGCCCGCTGACCAAGGTTTCCCTGCCTACCTTGGGGCCAAGCTTGCCTCTTTCTACGAACGTGCCGGACTGAGCATCGCGCTTGGAAGCCCCGAGCGGAAAGGAAGTGTCAGTATCGTTGGCGCCGTTAGCCCCCCTGGTGGCGATTTCTCCGACCCCGTCACGTCCAGCACGCTTGGCATCGTCCAAGTCTTCTGGGGTCTTGACAAGAAGCTTGCGCAGCGAAAGCATTTCCCATCCATCAACACCTCCGTTTCCTACAGCAAATACACCAACGTGCTCGATAAATACTACGCCAAGGACCACCCGGAATTCCCCCGGCTCCGGGATAGAATCAAGGAGCTACTCACCAACTCCGAAGACCTAGACCAGGTCGTGCAGCTCGTTGGTAAATCAGCCCTCGGCGACCCGGACAAGATTACACTGGACATCGCGGCGCTGCTCAAGGACGACTTCTTACAGCAAAACGGCTACAGCGATTACGACCAGTTTTGCCCTTTGTGGAAAACAGAATACATGATGAAAGCGTTCATGGGTTATCATGACGAAAGTCAGAAGGCCATCGCGCAAGGCCAGAGTTGGGCCAAGGTCCGCGAGGCGACAGCAGACATCCAGAATGCGTTGCGGGGGATGAAGTTTGAGGTGCCCGATGATGAACGGGCTGTAACCCAAAAGGTATGGATGGCTCCTACCCCATTTCATTTCCCCCCTCACTCGAATATCGTATTTGATATCTAACTTTTCATGGGATTGCAGTACGAAAAAATCCTTCAGGATATGTCTGAGAAGTTCGCATCGGTATCTGACTTGTAGAGGAATTTGGTTGCATGATTATAACGGTTTACATATACATCTTCCCATTCCTCTAATTCTATCCATCCTTTTTATATAAGCCCTATTATCTTTTTGCAAGACCCGCATACGTGTCCCTCCTTTATTTTATTTTGTTTTTTGGGTTCTAGCTGGTGGGAATGGTTCTAAACGGGTTGCCCATGGCTTCTACAATACTAAAGGCGGTTGTGATTTTGCGTAGTGTCTAGTTTTTTGTGTCCCTTCAATGATTGTTTGTGCTGGATGGTCTAATAGATGGCAAGTATTTGTCCATGAGATCCGGCTTCCTACATCTGTTTTTGATTTTTTATAATTTAATTTCCCCAAGAGAATTTGTTCCATAATACGAGGAATGAATAGGGCTTTTCGATCTGGCCTGGCCTGGCCTGTGTGGTTTTATATAGCTGTTTGTATGATACTATTCCGATGAGTTTGATGGAAGGACAGACAGAGAGAGAGAGAGTATTTCGTTCGACTTCCTCTCCATGGGGGTATCCTTTCTTTTCATGTTCAAAATAACGGTCATTCAATAATTGCCTATGCCACCAACAGGGTACATACACACAACTTGATTATAGCAGAATCTGAAGTATGTATCAGGAGAGTACTCTCGTCTAGACAAATATGTTATATATCTGCCTATTTCGTTGAGGATCTTTCGCACTAGCAGTTTCCAGAGCGCATGCTTTGTACCGAGGAACTTTCCGTGAATTCATGGATGCACTCTTCGATTTGCTCCGATACTCCAATAGACAGTGAATTTTGCTTTCCTTGTAACTTTTCTTCAGCTCCTAGCGCCCAGGTTCGCTCGGTCAGAGAACGTTTCGCAAAATATACTAGTACTGGCATGGTACGACAATAGTTTGAGCGGAATGAGTGGACTGTCAGAAACCAAAATGACGCGGCAAACAGTCACCGCCTCTCGTGCTGCTGAAAAAAATGAAGATGCCTGAGAGCATCTTGAAGAGCAAAATCATGGTCGTGTGAAAGATAACTGCCTGCTTAGTCATCATATAAAATGACCAGCCTATTATTATCATCATGCGAGTTCATCATTCATTCTCCGTCGTGATGCCCAAACCACACCGCACCCAAAAGCATTCCTTCTCACGATAACTATCTTTGGCCTTATTTTATATCTTCTATAACAGTGAGCTATCTTGAATGTTACTTTCGCCCGACATGTCGGCGACCCCATCTGGTTACTCGTGCGTTCCCCATATGGCTTGCTTCTCGCCGCTTTTGCTCTACATATATAGCTGGCTAACTCGCAAATTGTGTGTCGGTTCCACCGCCGAATAGAATAAACGTCAATGACCCCAGTCTTATTTCACTAGTAAATAAGCTGCAGGATGTCTTCACGACCGTTGGAGTATGTTCTTTGCTCCCACTCCACATCCCTGGGCGACACATGGGATACCGATACCGATAACGATGCTGATACTGCTCTCATCTAGGTACAAAATCCTATTGATCTTCCACAGATAGTGGTTGTTGGTTCGCAGTCGAGTGGAAAAAGTTCCGTATTGGAAAATATCGTCGGAAGAGATTTGTGAGTTGCGCCGTTTCCAATTGTCTTCCATGAGAATAGTCCAACTGATGGGTGTCTACTTCCTTTTCCCCTTTCCCTTTGATACAATTAGTCTCCCTAGAGGTTCAGGAATTGTAACTCGACGGCCACTAGTCCTACAACTTATCAACAGACCTGCTTCCTCGAAAGCGCAGACGAATGGCGTTAAGGATGAGAAACTGGAAACCACCGATAAGGAAGCCAACTTGGACGAATATGGCGAATTCCTACATATCCCTGGCCAGAAGTTTTACGATTTCAACAAGATAAGGGATGAGATTGTACGTGAGACGGAGCAGAAAACTGGGCGCAATGCGGGCATTTCGCCAGCACCGATTAATCTGAGAATATTCTCCCCTAACGTCCTGACACTTACCTTGGTCGACCTGCCCGGTTTAACCAAAGTCCCAGTGGGAGATCAGCCAAAAGACATCGAGAAACAAATAAGAGATATGGTGTTGAAGCAGATCAGCAAGCCTAATGCTATCATCCTCGCCGTCACCGCTGCGAACCAGGACCTTGCCAACTCTGATGGCCTGAAACTCGCGCGGGAAGTTGACCCGGAAGGGCAACGTACCATTGGCGTGCTTACAAAAGTGGATCTTATGGATGCAGGCACAGATGTGGTAGATATTCTTGCTGGCAGAATTATTCCCTTGCGGCTAGGCTATGTCCCTGTCGTCAACCGTGGGCAACGGGATATTGAGAATAAAAGACCTATTTCCTATGCTTTGGAACACGAGAAAAACTTTTTTGAGAACCACAAGGCCTATAGGAATAAGTCATCCTACTGTGGAACGCCATATCTGGCGAGAAAATTGAATTTGGTAAGCCGGGACTGAATCAATACTTCTATAATGCCCCTCTCTGCGATAGAAGCTAACAACCGTATCTAGATTCTCATGATGCACATTAAACAAACACTTCCCGATATCAAAGCCCGTATCGCAGCTTCTCTCCAGAAATACAGCGTAGAACTGGCCCAACTTGGTGACTCCATGCTCGGAAATAGCTCAAACATCGTCCTCAATATAATCACTGAATTCTGCACTGAATTTCGGACAGTTCTAGATGGTAACTACCAGGAATTGTCTAGCATTGAGCTCTCAGGCGGTGCACGTATCAGCTTTGTTTTCCATGAACTCTACTCCAACGGCGTTAAGGCAGTCGATCCATTTGACCAAGTCAAAGATGTCGATATTCGGACAATCCTGTGTAACTCTTCGGGCTCCTCGCCGGCTCTCTTCATCGGGACAACCGCCTTCGAGCTTATCGTGAAACAGCAAATCAAGCGACTCGAAGATCCAAGTCTAAAATGCGTATCACTAGTCTACGACGAGCTCGTGCGGATCCTGGGCCAGCTCCTCAGCAAGCAACCGTTCCGCAGATATCCACAGCTGAAGGAAAAATTTCATAGCGTTGTCATTTCATTTTTCAAACAGGCAATGGACCCCACGAATAAACTGGTTAAAGATCTCGTAGCCATGGAATCCTGCTATATCAATACAGGCCATCCGGATTTCTTAAATGGGCATAGGGTAAATAGCATGTATCATTTTTTCTTCTCATTCTTTGCACCGTCGTCCTTGCTTATACTCACCACCCTCTTTATATTAGGCGATGGCCATCGTCAACGAACGGAACGCTGCCAGTAAACCAACCCAGGTTGACCCCAAGACTGGAAAACCCTTACCTCCATCCGCAGTACCACGAGCGGCGAGCCCATCTCTCGACTCCATGTCGGATACCAACGGCGGCTTCTTCGGCAGCTTCTTCGCGTCGAAGAATAAGAAGAAGATGGCTGCGATGGAGGCTCCACCCCCTACCCTCAAGGCTTCAGGGACATTGTCTGAACGCGAGAACGCTGAGGTTGAAGTTATTAGTATGTTCCATTTCCCTCCTAATCCCTCAAGCACATGAAACGTTTCACGATTCTCTGCACGATACCGTATACTGACCGTCGACACCGCCAAAATTCAATAGAACTCCTAATAAGCTCTTACTATAATATCGTCAAGAGAACTATGATTGACATGGTACCCAAGGCCGTTATGCTTAACCTCGTCCAGTACGTTTCATTTCTTTATCGCTCTCTGTGGTCCATTCACCTCCTAAAACATATACCCTCTATGCCTTGTTTCTTGCTCTCTCTCTTTTTTATCGTGTATACTTACCAAGATTCTCAGATTTACCAAAGATGGAATGCAACGCGAACTTCTAGCCCAGATGTACCACTCTGAAGAACTAGAAGACCTCCTCCGTGAAAGCGAGTACACCATCCGCCGGAGAAAGGAGTGCCAGCAAATGGTGGAAAGCTTGTCGAGGGCTAGTGAGATCGTTAGTCAAGTTCAGTAAGGGTGGGGGCGCTGGCAGGGAGAGCTAGTTGTGTGTTTTGTTCCGTTTTGCTGATAAGTGGGTAATCTTTTGTTTAGAGATGTTTTATTCAATGGCTCCTATTTCCCTCGTTCATTTTCATCAGTTCGTGTTACGTGTTATATCTACCGTTCCTCTTTTCTGTCTAGATAGGGGCCCTTTATTCTCGCGCTTTTCTAACCTAATTTCTTTTCCTTGTCTCGGCTTTTGCTTTAAATACGTCCTTTTCATCGTCCCATTCTTTGTTCTCGTTATCTTGTTGTCATTTTTCTTCGATCCCTTTTGAAGTTAGATATATAATATTCTGTACTTCAGTTCTATTTATCATAATTACTTCCACGATACAATGATTGAAAGGGGAAGATGAATAACAGCTGCAGATGTAGATGCAGATGCCACTAGAGAAGTTGTTGGGGTTTAGTTTTGTCCGTCGCCGGATGGCCTCACTTCAGATCCTATCAATTCTCCTCCAAGCATACACGAACATAGCGAGTGGAAGATAGATTAAATTGCAATAAAATAAGGTATCCTCCCACCGTCCTGTTACTCCTCTTACGCTCTTACCTGTCGTCACTTTCTCTAGGGAATCACTTATGTGTGAATGAGAGGATATGAAAGCGATGGAACGTGAATTGACAGGGTGAAATCTCCAACACAGGTGGAGGGATAAAAGGGGATCAAAGTCCTTTTAAAAAACATCAGTAAAATGATTACTGCCGCAGATGTTCTTTTCATGGGGTTCGCGTTCCTCCTGCTTTTGCGTAATTCGATATCGAATAACCTCACGTTCTCCACAACGTCCCGATTCTTCTCATCCACGGATCGATCTTTGCTTCAAATAATGTGGAAAGGTACTCAACGCGTAACTAAATATGACGAGATGATTGGGAAATCGGTTGAAAACAATTCGGAGCTGAAAGATAGAGTAGCGACAGTTGAAATTGCGTATGTTTATTCTTCCTTTATATCTAGACAATTTGTTCACATATTCCCAGGGGCCATGAGCATCAATCGACCCCAAACTTCGCGTGTCAGGGAAGTTGCTGGATAAAAACGGAATTCGCATCACTTCGGCACATTGGTATCATGACAGGGGGGTCAAGTTTTCAAAGGAGGAGTTTAACACTATTGACGAAGGAGCATGAATTTACAGGTCTAATTTGCAAGCCATATTTTCGTTAGCAATAGACAGAAAAATTGAGGCTGTGTGGAAGACGATATGAGATAAAAATGGCCGTATAAATTCCTTGAATAGGGTTTATGACATTTTTTTTCCATCCACGAGCTGAGATTTCGGGTTTAGATTGCTGCCAAAGGACTTGTAGGGCTGACCGCATAGGCTAAATGTGCAAAAAGCGGCCAATCAACTTCTCAACGTTGCTTCGCTACTGTATCACTATGCCCAACTACAGGCTGTTGGCGACTTTCGAATACTGTTCCTGATGTGAATTTTGCAGGAAACAACCTTGGTGGGGCATTAGCCTGCATAGCGATGCTTCGACTAAAGGCACCTATAGCGTTAACGAGGCGAATTTTCCAATCTACTCCTTTCACTGCGCCAGTGTCTGGCCGCGGGTCTCTCTGCGACAGAGCAAATTGAGGAGGAACACACCCCTCAATATAACCCAAGCCATTTCTATCCTATACGCTTATACGAAGTCCTAAATAATAGATATCAAGTTGTCGCGAAACTCGGTTGGGGTACTAGTTCAACTGTGTGGCTGGCACAAGATTTACATCAGTGAGTTTTGCCCCCCCTCCCCCACCCACCCACATGTCCCGTTCAGTTGCTAACATCACAGATGGCGCTGGCTACCACGGCGTTATGTTACAGTCAAGGTCAGCGCAAACAATTACGCGGATAAAAAGTCTGCTGAAACGGAATTACATATCACAGAACATATTACGAGAGCAAATCCCCAGCATGTTGGCCATGACTTTGTACGAACTCTGCTAGACTCATTCGAACTATGTGGACCACATGGCACACATGTATGCCTGGTCTTTCATCCATTACGAGAACCTCTTTGGATATTCAAACAGCGCTTTCGAAACAACGTGATACCTTCGGATATCCTTAAGCTAATAGCTCAAATGGTACTTCAAGGACTTGAGTACCTTCACAGTGAATGCCATATCATCCACACTGGTAACTACGTCTCCAGCAACACGGAGAACGCATTCTGACTGGAATACATGGACTGACGATGCAAAAGATCTCAAATCTGATAATATCTTAATTGCGTTGAGGGACGAATCCTTATTGGATATCATTGCACGCGATGAATTCGAACACCCCCTCCCTCAGAAGGTTCTGGAGGACCGGATAATCTATCTATCACGAAATTGATTCGGCTTGCAGACCAAAGGGATAGGAAGACCAGTAATTACTGATTTTGGTCTTGCTGTACGTGGGGATGTGCCTCACCTGTATTACCATACCATTCAGGCAGATGACTATCGAGCACCAGAAATTATCCTCACTGCAGGTTGGAGCTACAGTGCAGATATATGGAATCTTGGAGTTCTGGTATGGAGACCAGGCCGTCTAATGGAAACTATACTACGAATCATTAACCTCTTTGATTGAATAGTTATGGGACTTGCTCGAAAAGGATGGTGGCTTTGGGGCGCTCAGTCCGGGCAACATGGAGTATACGAGCGAAAGGCATCTGGCGCATATGATCGCACTATTGGGACCACCGCCGAAAAAGCTTCTCGACCAAGGTCACGAGACTACAAAGTATTTTGATCATGATGGTACATTTATCCATCCCCCGCTCTCGTATGAGTAACTGCTCACTATTTAATTAGGCGCATTCCGATATCCAGAACTGATCCCAGAAAATGTCTCCCTGGTAGATTCTCTAAATCAGATCAAAGACGAAGACAAAATATCTTTCCTGGCTTTTATCATGAGAATGCTACGATGGCAGCCAGAGGAGCGCAGCAGTGCAAAAGACTTGCTCGCTGACCCATGGCTGAGAGCTAACCACTGATAGCCTGCATTTGCCTATCGCTTGTAGAGCAGGAATCCTGTAGCCTCCTTTAAGCTGGAACTCTCATCAGACTATATACAGTAGATGTGATTTGATCACAAATTCAGCACTTGTCAATGTGACATAATCATCAAGATCTCGTTATCTTTGGTATGTTTCTCTCTTTCTAGTTATATACTTCTTTTTTTTTAAAAAATAATGACCCTACACCTCACTCCGTAACTGATTCCACCTCATGATCTAAATTGATACCCTATCCTTTGGACAAATGGCATGGAAACAGGCTTGCCATATGAATTTCTAGTGCTCGAGTCAAAGACTTCTGTTCCTCATCTCCATAGTGCAATGTAACCAATTTCAGTGAAGAGCGCGTCGACAAAGATCTGAGCCTCGTTCAAGCTTTTTTCGAACCCATTCAACACTATCAGCACATTTATATATCTTCAGAGGGCATGGATAACAGTGACAACATCTAGGCTCCATCCAGACTCAACGACGAGTGGGTCACATCAATGCAGGGGACCGTGACAAGGGTGTTCGCGACGGCCACAGACTTGGAGGAGTTGGCCATCGATTTCACATACGCCTGAGTAGAGTCATGGATTTTTGGCAATCACACGTGATCCTATCTTCTCTTTCTCAAGGAAATGCATCATGATGACCTTGTGTTTTAAGAACATCTCTCGGGAGGACGGTTTCAAAAGTATTGACTCTCACGATAAATTTAAACTGAAATACCTCTACCAGCATTAAGTATTGCCGCTCCATCACTTAAGTAAAGAGATATTATATTACCTTTCAAGTGATCAATGTCTGTGCTCCTAGCCCAAGCAAGAGACCCTTTCAGTTTATATTCTTAACGTGAACCAAAATTTTTGAAACTGGCCTCTGCAAAGAAGAGACGCTCAACGTTCTACATATCTCTTTCATCACCATTGAGCATGGAACTTGGCCAACATTGGCTGATGTCATATGCGAATGCAAGCTCTCCTGTCTGTTTCATTTGATTGCCCGTGCGAGAGATGAGATGAGGGAAACGTCAAACTGGGCTTCAATTGAAATCTGGAGGGCCACGCAGTGTGTGCGCTGTGGGTAATTTGACCCAATCTGCGAAGTTGATAAGTTTCGGGACACATTCGCTTTCGACTACTACATAACTTTGAGTGACTTAAGTACCAACCCAATTTCCTTTCAATTGAGAATCACGGAAGGAATGCCAATCCCCAAAGAGCAGTTGTTGGCATCTCTGCCTCCAAATTATTCTGGTTTTGCATTGGCAGTTATGATGAGATTTTCAAAAGCTGGGTTTGTTGATCATGGAAACTGTGTGGCTGACAAGGTCAGGGACACAACACAGAAAAAGAAAGGAGAAGGAATGAAACAGCATCTATATCAAAAACTAGGTCATTAATCTTATCAAGAACGCCTTCATGCACTTCATACATTTCCTGCATGCACGCAACTTCACGTTTTCATCATATCCATGGATGGACGGATGTTGGATAACCCCAAGCCTACGCATGTGATTGGGTCATACTACAGCAGAAATGGGGGAATGAATGGCTATTGATATATATACATATATATATATATTCCGTAGTATTATTCAAGTAAATTAGATCGGCAGTATGCGGACGTTGCTCGGCTTCTTGTCCATATTCATCGCATCATTTAAGAAATTGGTGGTTATATTTGAGTTTGACGCCGCCGTGCTGTAGATGAATTACAACGGGCATAGCAGGAAGCAAGAAGCACAATTGCTTCTTATTGTGCATGTTTCTGCAGGTTAGTAGTAATCCATGTCGCACGGGTCGTGCGATTTCTGCAGGCTGACACCTCGAAAAGGCAACAAATTCACCCCTCCACGATTTCATGCATTTTGCTGTCCTTGTTTAAATGCCTGGACCAGTTGATCATGCCCTCGCGCGCACCAACAAACCGCTGTTGGGGGAGTTGGTGTCTATTGTTTCCCAACGATGACACAAACCACCCGCCGCCAGTTCGAAAAACAATGCACCAAAGGTCAACAGAATAAGTCACAAAAACACTCCGTTAATTTAACTATCTATTAACGTTAACTAGCAATAGACTCTTATCATTTCATGCCAATTCCATATTAGCTCTCAATACCCTCCAACTCCACACTAAAATAATTGAAAGTAGTCTTGACTGAAGAAAATGACTCTGCTAAGGATCATACGGCCATTCCGATGTAAGCTTACCCCGGCAAATTACCATCAGAAGGCACTTTGCATTCAGGCCCTGGAATCACAAGAGCCATATTCTTAGAAAATGCAATCCAACTTGCATGAAACTGAGAATTAATCGGTGGCCCTAAGCCCTTCAGCCCTTGGAACCTGATCCACCGCGCAGCACCCAGCCATCAACCCTCCCTGGCCAGCATGCTAGCGAAGGCGCCATCGGAGATATTTAAGGATAACGCTACTCCCCCAGTCCTTCTTTCACAGTCGACGAGGAACTCGCTGGTTGGTTTAAAATCCGGATTATCCTTTCTCCCCCAAGCCCGTCAGGATCCCTGTATGTCTCAAACATCCTCTGAGAGCGATATATAAGAAAGCTCCAAGGGGCATCATTCATTCCTTCAACATTATTCTCCTCCGTCCTTTGACCATCCGAAACCTAAAGAAAGAACATATTATTCCATTTCCATTTCCACCTCGTTAAAAAATCAGCCATGAAGACCTCTATCTCTCTACTCATCGCTGTCGCTGTCAGCGTCATGGGCCGGCCCACGTCAGAGACGCTAAGCGCCCGATGCCCTCCCGAGGGTGCTCCCTGTGGCTATTATATCGACTGTTGTCCGGGACTTACGTGCAAAAACTACTATTTCGTAAGTGCTGTTTGGGCGATATCATTCTCTTTTCCCCCTTGATAATTCCTTTGTACGAAATCTCGGAGAAGAAAACCACTCGCTAATCGCTGATGAAACTTGATCGTAACTAGGAGGGGATCGGCAAGTGTGCACCCGTTGACGACTGTGACGACCCCTGAGCAAACGCGGCTCGCAGCGCGAGACGGAACCCGAGATCGTTCTGTTGTGTGTCCGAACCGTAGATTTCGGTACCACTTTGTTTTTGATTTGGTTTTGATTTGGTTTTGTTCAGTTTACTCGATGATGTAATGGAGGTCTCGAGGGGCTTGGATATAGAAAACGAAACATATAACATGAAACAAACCACCAAACCGAAGCGTTGATAACGAATAGAGAAACAACTTGCATATGAATTGCGACTGGGAAGGACTCTGCTTGTTCAAAGGGATACTGGATACACCTTTTTTTCTTTTCCTTTTTCCTTTGGTTATATTTCACAACTTACGCTTTTCTATTTACGTAATTTTTCACATTTCTGTTTTTGCTTTTGATCTTGCGGTGCTTCTTTGTCCACGGTCCTTTTTTCTTCGAGGCAGAGCCATGGAATTTGCAACCGGTTGCATAACATGCGCGACTGCCAGCAATATCACCCCGACGCACCTAGATAGATATATATAATTACACTGGGTTTACGTCGTTACTGTTCTTGCTGATGAGGGGATGTTTCTAGTAGCATTGAAAAGAGTGCACGGCCATACATAACATAATGGGAAATCTCTCAAGTAGCCTGTAGCAATATCTTTAGTCTAAGTGCAGCATACAGCAGATATCAATAAGAAAGAAATAAACGCCTTCATATACTAAATTAAGGGTAGAAATATACTTGAATATAGAAAATATACCAAGAGCAAGAAATTTATCAACATTAGAAATTTTCCTAACTTGAAAAAGTACTATAGCTAAATCTCAACAGAAACCGAGATATATAGCAATCTAATTCTTGGAATATATATATATGTATATCTATCTCTTGCTATTTTTTTTTTTTTTTTTTTTTTTTTTTTTTTTTTTTTTTTTAAAATACATATTTCAGAGGTGAGACTTCAGTCTCCTCCAAATTTCCCCCAAGAGGAAATCTTCAAGAAGATTGTTGTCAACACTGCTTCTGAAAATGAAAATAACCTGTCTCTTTTCTTTCATTTAATTGACATGCAGGCCACCAGTTTACGGGACTCCACTGGAAACAACAATTTTCGCTAGTTCTCCAGTGCCGCATCGACGGAAACCATATATAAGTGATGCCTTGACAAATTAGCTGGTGGCATTCACAGGTAGGTACTAGTTCCATATTATTTTCTGATTGTTTGAAACAGGGTCAGAGCTCTCTCTAGCTAGCTGGTTAAGAATGATATATCCTATCGTGAAGGTTTCCAAAAAAAAAAAAAAAAAAAAAAAAAAAAAAAGACAAGAAAAAAAATGTGCTGTAGATATCTCATTCTTTGCCTTGAAAATGCTTTCTCCCAGGCGCTGTAAAATGGGGTCTGAGCAAAAGGACCCCATCAAGCGATCTTATACAAATCCGTACTAATAAATGGGACTGTTCCATGCACGTCATGAGGAACAACCTCCAATCAGATGGTTGAGAATCACTCCAGCGGGTTTAGTTCTGGGCGAGCGACAAGCTGCAAGTTCACCATCAACTTATGCTTGACTTGAGATCATATCACCTTTTCGACACTGTCAACCGAGTTAGTATGCGATGGGCTCCAGCAGCCGTTCCCCTGGCGCTAGGCAGGTAGTACTAATTAGCACAGTTGGCTAGGGATTGCAATATCGGGATCGCAAAATTCCACGAGGAAAACCATGCGCCTGCAGAACCCTAAAAATGCCTCGAGGTTGGTTGACGATGTATCGCCATAATAAGCACAATATGGAAGCATTCTCGGGCGGCTCGCCACTGCCACTTGGATGGAATGAGTCTGGGTGAAGCTTATTTCCACGAAGATCTCGCCACGCGGCGCTGCTCGCTCTGGACAGCGGTGATGGCCACCCGCTTCAAGCTGTGTCAACCACTCCAATTCCGCATCGTGGCTCTTTCGTCTCCTGAGAACCTCCAGAGCTTCCGTATGTCCAGCGTCAATCCTTCTCTATCGACCTCCTGGTGTCTTGCTGGCCTCTTTGCGTACACGATATACAGCTTTCGTCATGCCTTTTTTTGTATCTTCTAGCTTTTCCGCGCTTGCTCCGTCGCGAACAAGCTCTCCATTAACGGCGTCTTGAGGGATAAGCATAGACTTGCCTTCTAGGTCGTCCTTCCAACTGCTGCTCCCTGTTGGCTGTGCTGCGGATTCCAGTTTTGGCTTGTCCCCCAAATCCCGGGATACAGATATATACCTCCAAACGGTGTTCGATCTCAGCCGTTCGATCTCAACCCAGCACCCCCTCCTCCCCCTTGGTGGGTGTTATTTTAAAGCGCCATGGCACTCCGGTCTGGTATGTTGAAAGTAAGGCGGGCTTACTGGAGCTCGCTGGAAGCCTTTATAAAAGCTGTCGACTCAATCGGGACTCGAGTTCCGTTTCTTTCTACCATACGGCTTAATTTTTTGTCTCTCCATTATGGCTACATCATCACCTGTTCCCTCGTTGCCTCTGTCATCCTCTACGCGCCTGGGAATATGACATACATTGATGCGCTGCTGTTCGCTACCGGTGCTACTACCCAGAGCGGTCTCAACCCCATCGACACCAATCTTCTATTGACCTACCAGCAGGTTGGGTTATGGTTCCTTTCCATGATCACCAATCCGATCTTCATTAATACATTCGTCGTTTTCATCCGCCTTTTTTGGTTTGAAAGGCGATTTCAACATGTCGTCCATGAGGCCAAAGCCTTGAGACGCATTAAATCAAGACAAAGGACTCTGACGCGCGAGGCTTTGACCAGAGATCGGCGGGAAACTAGCCACAACCGAGAACGAGGAAATCTAGGGGTCCGTGGAAAGGAGATAGTGCTTTTGAGGGATATTGGTACTGGACTGGCTCAGGGTTGTTCAGCGGCTCATGATATTGAGAAGGGGACAGATGCGGCTTCAACGTCTGAGAGCGACAGGTCACCCAAACCAAGTCCTGGCGGCGAGCCCAGTTCTCCTCAGGGGGAGGATCAAGCTAGAGGAGAAAACCGAGGTGATGCGGCGGATGCGATGGAGCCTCCCATATCTGACAAAAGTGAAAAAGGTGTTGAGCTTGGAGGGTCTAAATATTTGAGCCCGGAGCATCATATTGCGTTTCTAGCACATCAACGGAGGCACACGTGCGCACTACGTATTCCGAGCCCTCGAGAGTACGATAGAGGCGGAGTCCCACAAACAGTTGATGACGATGGAGACGGCGGAGATCTGACACCAGTACAGACACCACGGTCAGAGTGGCCCGCCGCTTCGCCTTGTACACAGCCGGCCCAGGAACACCATATCACCATCGATGAGCCTAATGCTGCCCGGATGCGTTCGAGAATTAATCCTCGTCGAAGTTCAACCTATCGTCCCTCGGAACCGGATGCAGATTTCATTCCGCCAGAAAGGACGAGAAGTAGAACATTTTCGGGTCTTTTTCGTTCTTCGTCTCAGGGTCCCGACATTGGTTCAAGCCCCTATCTTAGTTGGCAGCCGACAATCGGCCGAAATTCTGCGTTTGTCGACCTTACAGAGGCTCAGAGGAACGAGCTAGGGGGGATTGAATACAGAGCCTTGAAATTACTAGTGGTGGTGCTGATTTGCTACTTCTTCTTCTTCCATCTATTAGGCATTGTATCCTTGGTGCCATGGATTCTGAAAACAGAAAGATTCGGTAATATTGTCAAAGAAGCAGGGTTAGGCCGTCCGTGGTGGGCTGTTTTCGCCTCTGCTTCCGCCTTCAACGATCAAGGATTCGCTCTCACCCCAGACTCGATGATGTCGTTTTACGATGCAATATTTCCACTTCTTTTGCTGAGTTTCCTTATTCTTGTCGGAAATACCGCATTTCCTTGCATGCTGCGATTTACGATCTGGATGCTTTCTCACCTCGTTCCCTTCGGCAGCCCTGCGTGGGAAGAATTGCGGTTCTTGCTAGACCACCCACGAAGATGTTTTACCCTTATGTTTCCTGGCGCGGCTACGTGGTGGCTATTTGGAGTTCTTGTTGTTCTTAATGGTCTACAACTGATCATCTTCATTATTTTAGATGTAGGTGCCCTTGTCCATGAGCGCGTCTTTCCTTGCAGCCTGCTAGCCACCTGCTAACTTGCTCTATTAGTTGAATAACCCGGAATTCAACAGTATTCCGATTGGGATACGCTTTGTGGATGGTTTTTTCCAAGCAGCATCGACGCGGACGGCTGGTTTAGCGGTCGTCAATCTGGCAAATATTCATCCTGCTGTTCAGGTATTCTTTTTGATTATGATGTATATTTCCGTGTTCCCTGTTGCCATTTCGGTCCGTCGGACAAACGTTTACGAGGAGGGCAGTTTGGGGATATATTCCTACCCTGATGACGATGAAGATGAAACGCTGGGCTCGAAGAATGTCAGTTATATCGGGGCCCATCTACGAAGACAACTAAGCTTCGATTTATGGTATATTTTCCTTGGGTTGTTCCTCATCTCCATCATCGAAGTCAACAGACTTGACCAAAAGGGCGAAAATTTTTTCTCCATGTTCGCGGTCATGTTCGAGATCGTCTCCGCCTACGGAACCGTGGGCCTGTCACTTGGGTTCCCGAACTCCAACACCGCGCTCGCCGGGCACTTCAGGCCCTTATCGAAACTCATTATCATCGCCATGGAAATCCGTGGCCGCCATCGTGGTTTGCCATACGAACTCGATCGTGCTATTCTGCTACCATCCGAATCCCTCAACCGGAAGGAATCAATGGACGCCAACAAACGGTTGAGACGTCGTGGATCCAATATGAGCACCTTTTCCGTAGCCACACGGCAGCAGTCAATGCCACGCGTGCCCCTCAAGGGGACACGATCATCAAGTGCGTATCAGCGAGGCGGGTGGCTTGGTTCCCGGCCAGAGCCAACTCCTTCTCAGATCGGAGCCGCAAATACTGGACCTCCATTACGCCCACATCAAGAGGGTGTTTAGCTTCGGCGATTAATCGTGAATGCATTGTCTTCCTGTCTATACGGTTTTCCGAATCTTCAAAGACGCTGCTCTCATCTTTGGACTGGACCATAGCTGCTTTTGTTCCGCGATTCAGCGAGCGATCCTTTTGTACCTTCTATCTGGTTCTTGGGGTGATTTTCCTTTCCCTTTTTTCTTTGTTTTCTCTTTTCTGGGAACGTGGGGTCTAAATTTATTTGGGCGTCGGTTTTTGGAAGGCTTTGTCTCTTGCCTGATGGAGTCCTTGTGTCTCATTTTATGGTATGGGTACGGGTTGGTTACGGAAAAACAGGTTCCCGTTTTTAGATACTGTCATCATTTCACCAACTGTAATTAATTGTATGATGTACTTTTTTAAGAAGAAACTTACCTTGTTACAAAGGTCGAGCTTTTACTCCCTTTCTTCTTTCCATAGACAGCGCGGAATGGATGTCACCTCGTATCATCCCACCCCTCGATCTAGGTTATATTCCAGATTTCAGATTTGGAGGGAGATATTGGCAATAATTGGGGGCTCGGAAATAACTTCTTTATGGGCTCGGGGGAGCACTCACTAACTCACCCACTCACTCAGCTAGCTTCGATTTATTGGGGGATTCTTAGCCCAGAAAGATATTCGAACAGAGAGAAAGATTGGTAGATGATATAGATGAATCGAAAGAAAAGGAAAAAACGATCGACAGAGTCACGGACATAAGAAGAAAAACCCAATCACGACTTCTATATATACGAGCTTTCGTACTCCGTAGTATCTGATGAATCACAAACGGATGGAGAGAGTTTAGTTACGTACGAAGCAACCTCGGTGACCGAGTTAGTTGTCCTTAACCCATTCTTACCATTTCAACCCCCTTCGCACCGTTTCATTCTCGACGCTCTTGTGCGTCACTAAATCGAGGGGTGGTGAAAGGATGATGCAAGTGGCTCAGTTTAGCTTTCTTCTTTCTTTCTTTCTTCCCCCCTCTTGAGTGGGGGATTTTGGGCCTGGCTCTAGTTGAGATGCCGTGTGATCACTTGCCCCTCTCTAAACGTGTGAGCTGATATTTCTTCTATAGATTTCTAGCGCAAAGTTTGCTGTTCCAGATCTTCCATGGAAATTTCTCCAAAGGGTAAGTAAGAAAAGAAAAAGAAAGAAAGAAAACGATGTTGCAACTCACAATTAACTTCAAAAATCAAAGCTTGACTTGGGGCTACAGAAGTTTAATGCCATCTCGTATTCCCCGACTAACTCCAACTACAAGACGTCTTTTGCTTGAAGACCCGAATTAACGAAAGGCTCTCGGGAATATGGCCTAAAGTGGCTACACCCGCCAGGCGTGATTATTAGTTAGTTAAAAGGCACGCCCAAAGCTGATTGTTGGGGATAGCTTCAGGTTTATATCAGAATGGTCTTGACGTCTGCACCACCAGCAAGCGTTACCCATGGGGAAAACCAAGATTAACTAGTTAACTACAGCTCAACTGAAGATACGAAATAAACCAACAACCCAGTGCGTGAAACGAAAAATGGCCGTTTCGAATGCTGCCCCCTGCAACATTAAGAACGACGATCACGGTGCAGCCGAATGGATCGGAAGGCCGAAGGAATGCGTTTGTTGCAGAGGTTCATGGCAAGACAGAACAAGCTCGCTGCGATGAAGCACATCGGCAACCGTGAAGCGGACGAGCGCAGAATGGATCCAGATCGGGAATCTGCTAAGGTTTGCATGCCAAGCTCCCGCAGGTGCAGCAAAGGACAGGGAAGCGCTTGCGCACACCCGAAACAGCGAATAAGATGCGGCGAGCGAGGAATTTCTCCGCCACAGCGATCTCGAAAACTCCGTGGACATTTGAGTTTACCGTGGAGCAGCTAGCCATGAGCTCCCGGTGACATATTGATAGCTCGCCGAAGTCCATGGAGTTGGGTGGAGATAAATCGATACGGCCTTATCGATATCGACATCAACGCAAGCGTATTCTTGAATTGGGAACGGGCGAGATGTGATTCATAGATCTGTCCACATGTATATATGGAGATATGTGTATATATATATAAATATATATATAGGGTCGAACGAACATGATGGAGAAGGATATCCAAGAAAACAACTATATCTATACGCAAAATACCCGTACCTACCTACAGAGATACTACCTCCATAGAAAAAGAAGAATTAAAAAGCAACAAACCATGGCAACTCACGCGGAATTCGGTGCGAAAACCACAGCTACAGAGGCGGCCAAGGTGTTCGCTGGCCAGATTAAAGGATTGACAGGTACATAGCACTCCCGACTGAACCACCTGCATTGAGGCAGTTCCACAGAAGCTGATGGTTCCTTTTCCTTCCTTACACATAAGTCCTCGTAACCGGAGTCAACCCCAAAGGCCTCGGGGGCGCCGTTGTCGCGGCAATTGCCCAATATCGGCCCGCTCGCATCATAATAACAGGAAGATCGCAGGAGAAGCTCGACGAGGTAGCCAAAGACCTGGACATCAGCTTCCCGAAGGTACCCGTAACAGCAGCAACAGTGGACCTGGCTTCTCTGCGCTCCGTCCGCAAAGCCGCGGCCAAAATCAAGGGCGAGGTTGACTCCATCGACGTTGTCCTCAACAATGCGGGTATCATGGCTCTGCCGGAGCGCGAGCTCAGCGAGAACGGCTTCGAGATGCACCTCGCCACGAACCACATCGGCCATTTCCTCCTCACAAACCTGCTCATGGACAAGATCCGGCGGGCCGCCGCGCAGCGCCCTGGCCACACCCGTATCGTCAGTGTGACTTCGCTGGGCTACCAGTTCTCCCCGTTCCGGTTCAAGGACTATAACTTCGACGGCCATCCTGTCGCGGCGGATGAAGTGGGCGTTGAACCATGGCTGCAGGGCTATGGGTATTCATCGGAGCCTTATAAGTCTTACGACTCCATGATCGCATATGGACAGTCGAAAACAGCGAATTTGCTCTTCACGACGTATCTCGCGAAGCATCTCGCTAGCGAGGGGATCACTTCTCTCACGCTTCATCCAGGAGGTATTTTTTCCAATCCTGTTTCAGAGGCTTGGATATATGGGCAGGTGCTAACCGTTGGGCAGTGATCGACACGGAACTGGGACGATATATGCCTGTAGAATTGATGGGCGCGATAAAAGAACTTGTGCCAAACTGGAAAACTCAGGACGAGGGAGCTGCGACGTCGGTGGTTGCGGCGTTTGATCCTGCGCTACAAGGTACGCTATTGTTCTCTGTCCTCAGGGATTGACTGATCTATCTTTCTTTCTTGCTTTTTTTCCTCAAAAGACGTGGAAAAAGAAAACCCCCAGACGCTGATAATTCTGTCTGCATAGCTCATTCCGGCTCTTTCTTGATGGATTGCCAAATCTCCGCCCCGGCCGCGTATTCTGTTAACGAAGAGAGCGCAGAGAAGCTGTGGAAGTTAACAGAAAGGTTTGTGGGGCAGGAGTTCAAACTGTGAGAAATGTGTCACGAAGAATATATAGAACGTATACCATAGATCTCGGTCCTTTTTACCTTGCTGCGTGGCGTGAAGGTGCATCATGTGGAGAACATATTTTGCTACCCATCATTTCGTTATTCGGCGTCGCATGGCAATATTATTTGTTTTTTTATATTTCATTTTATTTTATATTGCTTTGTTTAGCGTACGTTTATGACATGAATTAAATTTCTTCGAAGGCCCTACAAAGTTGTTGCTCAATATCAGCTTGTATGTACTGGTCACTTCAGGAGCATTCTCATCACTTTACATGTTTACTTACTTACATCAATATCCTTTTATCTTGTACGTCAGCTGCCTAATATGGACAGACATTCTCAATGCTGAGGCATCCTTCTCCCTACCACTGCTACCTCTCAGAAGCGTGCGTTGGGAAGTGCCAATATCTCCAGTCCCAAGCCAAGCATACAAGCCCCCACCATATTCCACCGACGTCATCCCATTGCAGTTAAAAAACTTCCAACCCCCGTCAACATCGCTCAGCACAAGGGCATACACCAACAAATAAAAATAAAATTAAAATTAAATAAAAAAAAAACATGCCACGAACCGCCCTTATCACAGGTGCCACGGGTCTTCTCGGGCGCCAGGTCCTCAATGCCTTCGAGCGGGACAGCACAAATTGGAATGTGGTTGGGCAAGGCTTCTCCAGAGCGGGGACGCGGACGGACATGGATTCGGAAATCGTCAAGGCAGACCTGTTGGATGAAGGTGAGATTGTAGCGCTGCTGGACCGGACTAAGTAAGTTCTATTTTTTTGTCGTTTTGTACGGAGTAATAGGTGTGATGATAACCGGACTGGAGTGAGGGGTGGACGCCGCGGGGGGTAAGAGGTTTGTGAACGGAGTTGATATTTTAATATTGCGACGTTTATGATATGCTGATTGCTGATGAGGATCATGGGATGGATGGTTATCTAAGACCCAATGTTGTTGTGCATTGTGAGTTTCATCGTTTTCTACGTCTCTTTTGGTCCTTCATTGCCCATTTTCTGGGATAGTACTCTGTACAAATGGGTGGTGTGAACTTCCAGAAGAGTTTCTTTCATATTTTTTTTAGTTCCCCATAATATATGATGATGATGATGATGATGATGATGTACTCCATGCTATCTTCTTCCGACATGATTAATTGGGACAGAATCAAGTTCGCTAACCATCAAAAAAAAAAATTCCGATCCTATATGTAGGCGCCGCCAACCGCTTCCCCGACAAATGCGACCAAAACCCAGATGCAGCACGAAAAATAAACGTCGTTGCCACCAGATCCCTGGCACGGGCCACCTCGTCCAGATCCATCCTGCTCATCTACATCTCGACAGATTATGTATTCCCCGGGCGCGCGGGCGAAGCTCCCTATGAAGCCTCCGCCAAAACAGAGCCACCAAATATCTACGGCGAGACGAAGCGGGACGGCGAGGTCGCCGTGCTAGAGGAGACACGTGGGTGCGGGCTGGGGGTAGTTTTACGCGTCCCGGTCCTCTACGGGCCCGCGCTGCAGAACAGCGAGAGTGCCATCAACACGCTTGTGGACGCGGTGTGGAAGGCGCAGAATGCAAACGCCGGGGTTCAGATGGACGATTGGGCGATTAGATATCCGACGCACACGGCGGATGTGGGGCGGGTTTGCCGCGACATCGCTGCCAGGTACCTGTCTCTTTTTGTGGGAGCGGCAGCGGATCGCGAAGGCGATGGTGGCTTCTCCTTCAAGACTCTACCGAGGATTCTACAGTTTTCATCCGAGGATGCCATGACCAAGTATCAAATTTGTCAGACACTGGCGGAGATCTTGGGGCTGCCGTTGCCTGGCATGATGCCTTTGAAGGATGGGCCGAAGCCGGGTGAGGTGCAGAGGCCGTACGATACGCACTTGTCGACGGAAGAGTTGCGACGAATTGGGATTGACGTTCAGACGCAGTCGTTTGTTGCATGGTGGTAAGTTGGCCACTGCAGTATTTTTCTTGTGGTTTATTTTATTTTATTTATTTTTATTATTTTTGTTTGGTTTATCGTTTATCCCTGCTCTGGCACCTTATGACCATATATAAGATTGCAGTGCTGACCGACATATTTATCAGGCGGAGAGAACTGCATGCATTCCGCCACTAGGGCGATGCATGTTCAAATCGAGCAGGCGAGATCTCAAGTTTTGAGTGAGGTGGCGGGCTGATGCTGATTCTGGTTTTCTGAATTTCCTGCCGCCTGTGAGTAACACAGCAAGTAGGCAGCGAGATTTCAAAAAGGGAAAAATATGAAAATATAACTAGTTATCACATTTATCTGACGTCAGTTCCAGCAATAGTTAGTTATGTTTTCTTACGACGGCAACGGGTGTTTCGGATGTTAAGGGTCTGCTCTGGCAGGGAACATGGCGAAAATGAGAGCTGTTAGTTGAACCCCTTGTGTGTCTAAGAGCCTAAGAATAGTTTTAAGAGGTCCGGGCGCGCTTTGTATGACCTATTGTTGACGTGAGGGGAAATCTTCAGGACGTTGGGATGGAAAACAGGATATATGCAACCAGGTTCAGCCTTGGAAATCAGGGAAACCAAGCTCCCCAGAGCCCCGACCATCAGCAGGGTAGTCGGAATGCGCGACCTTTTCTTGAATAAATAAATTCCCTGTTTAATGTTTAATCTATCCACTGTGACGGGCTTCGGGGTTTCTGATGTCAGGCCCTTCCGCTGTCAGACTGATGTCTCAACCCGGCAGTTTTTGACAGGGGTGGATCTATTTTCAGTGGAAATTGGCCCTTATTTTAGCATTTGACCGTAGCCTCCGTCCGGGAGGACAGAGGGTCTACAAATATACATGTGCGTTGCTGGAAGTATATAAAGTAGAAGTAATTTTGCGATGGTTCGTCTGCAACTTGTTTCAAGGGCTCCATCTTCAATTCATGAACCAGTTAATTCTTCATTGCATAATCCCGCCAGCTAGTCAACTAGTTAGCCTGTTAGTCCGTCAGTTAGTTACTAGTTATCGAGTCTGGATTATAAGGAGTTAAATTGCACTCCACGCCGTCCCACCAAGCCCTGTCGGTTCGCGCTTCGTCGTTCTCTCATTCGGCGACACGGACCCCTGATCGCGACCCGTTTCCACATTTGCGCCAGGGTGGGTTGGGTGTGTGTGCTTTTGTGAAATTTGACGAGGGAAATTCTTCTCCTCCTCGAACCATCAATAATAACCCGCCGTGAGCCAGAGTTGGAGCCTGGTGTTGGTGGTGTGTGTTGGTATTTTCTTTTTCCTGCCTTTTCCTTTTGTCCATAGTTCAGATCGTCGCTTGTCCGCCACTCGCCTGCCCAATCGCCAGGTTCGGATCCACGCCAACAAGCTCAATCGCCATTCCACCAGAGCTCTCTTTGCACCCGTCTGAGATCGCTGAGCCCTCTCACAACTTCACAGGGGCCTGGTCGATCCTCCAGCCAGCCAGAGATTTCTTTTTCGTCCTTCCCAATTGGCGATTCCCCCGCGCTGCGACCCGTCGCTGGCAGACTTCCTGCTCTCTTCCCGCCACCGCATTCAGTCGTTGTCGTTCAGTCCAAATTCCAGTCCAAATTCCAGTCCAAATTCGTATCGCTTGCTGTCTGATCTCCTGTGCGCCCCTGTCGCCACAATTATCTTGGAATGCAGGTCGCATTGGCGACTGACGTGCGACCCGATGCGCTACGTACAATCTTCTAGCAACTCAAACTCACGGAAATATACCTCCATCGCTGTCTGGGGAAGATTGTCTCTCCTTTTGCAAATGCGAAGATAACGATATGATGGACATTGTCTGAAAACGGAAGAATAAATAAAAAGTGAAGGAAAACAAAAGCCAAAGAAGAATTTTCGAAGCTACGTTACGACGCCATGGACAGTCGTTCCACGTCGTCCGCGTCGATACGATCTCCGCAACCGCAGGCACCACCAAAATATTCCAGATATCGAGCAGTCCGGAAGGCCGCAGAGACAAAGACAATTCAGAATGGGGATGCGACTGCACAACCCTTTCCGACCACCTCACGCACGGCTAAGTTCCCGTCGAGCTCTCCTTCGTTCTCCGAGACACAGAATGAATCCATCAAGCGCAGCATGTCGAGATATCGACATGCGAAGCCTGGTGGTGCAACCAGGGCTGTACATTCTGTCCCTCCTCCCCCGCCGTTTCCTGCTGCAGTGGCATTACCCACCGGCCCCCACACACAGGGAGACTACATACAAGACCCTCATGAAGGAGAGCGATCCGAGCCTACCATAAAGCAGCATCGCACGAGACGTGCCCCGCGCCAGGACCACCCAGGCACGGCACGGACATCCTACACGTCCAGTGTACCGGGAGCTGCACAGTCAGCAGGTCAAAGTACCAGTGAAAATGGCTTATCAGGTGTGCGAGTGGTCCCTGTGGATAACGACACGGAAGATGCAAAATCGCCTCCTGAGTATTCCCCACTGGAGACGGATAGTGGTTCGTCCAGCATGGAAGAATCTGGAAGCCGCCGATCGCGTGCAAACGCCCACAGCTCATCGAGCGAGTCATATAATACACCAACTACTTCAAAGCTACGCACTGTTGTGGAGCCAAGAATGCTAGACATTCGGGACCAAGTGGAAAACATCACCAATGAGGAACTCGCCGCAAATGAGAGAGCGACTGCAGCGCTTAATGGTTCAAAACTGAGACCACTAAAAGTGAAACCGAAGAGCAGCGGGTTCTTGTCACGGATGAAGGCCTTGAATCCTACTTCGAGCTCGAAACTGAACAACAACGGCAACGGCGACAGCCATTACCATAACGATCGCGAAAAATTGAAGACACTTATCTCCTCTCCGCAGCCAATCGCCCAGGACAAGGTCAAGGTGGCTGTGGGCAGTGAAGTGCCCATCTCCGCTGTCAACGCGGGAACAAGAAAGGTCCTCGTAACCTGCAACGACTCGTTGATATCCCTCCCGATTACCCCCAGCACGCAGGCACAGGACCTCTTAAACTCTGCAGCGTACTCTTTGTCGGAGAATATTGACCCACAATCTTCAATTCTTTTGGAATCTTTCAAGCAGCTCGGTTTAGAACGACCATTACGAAGATACGAACATGTGCGTGATGTCTTGAATTCGTGGGATTGCGATGCGCAGAACCATTTAATCGTGTCGCGACTGCCGGATATGCGCGAAAGGGAGGGCCTCGATATCAAGCTGGCTCCTCGTAAGCAGCCCTCGGAATCCGAATTCCATCTTTACCACTCTCAACGCCACGGCAAGTGGGAAAAGCGTTGGGTAACCCTGCGGTCAGATGGCCAGGTCTCCGTTGCGAAGAAACAGGGCGGAGAATCCACGAATATCTGCCATCTATCGGACTTCGATATTTACTCACCTACGTCACGGGAGACAGCGAAAAGAGTCAAGGCTCCAAAAGGCATAGTTTTCGCCATCAAGAGCCAGCAGAAATTGAACATGTTCGTAACGACGGAAAATTACGTCCATTATTTTGCTACCAATGACGAACAAACAGGGTTAGAATGGTACAAGGCTGTTCAGCAATGGCGAAGCTGGTATCTCGTGAACGCTCTGTGCGAAAGCGATAAAACGGAGAAAGCATCCGTCAATTCAAATCCGAAACCTACGCGAACGGGAGTTCAGAATACCATGTCAAATGGTCGCCAGAATTCCGATGATTCCACTCCGTATCAACTCGGATCGTTCAAACCGCTTCTGGACATGGATATGTCGGCGTGGAAAATCGAGCCCGTGAGGAACATCCCTGAGGGTAACGAGCCATCCAAATCAAAAGCAGTTTCCTCCCCCGGTCGCTCAATGCACACTCAAAAACGACCCTTCACATCCGCTGGAAAGCCCAAAAAGGAGCCTATCAATGCATCAAGTCCTGACCCGTTTTCTTCTACTGGCTTACTTGGCAAAACATATAGCGAACGCAAAAAAGCTCTGGAAGAACGCGACAATGAAACCCCCCAATACGGCTTCACCGGCCTTGGACTTCTACGCAACGTAGCAGCTGAAAACTCAACACGCCCAGCAATCGTTTCCAGCAATCGCTCAAGCCGTCGGAGCAGTCGCGACTACGCAGCACCGCCAAACCCCACCAGCCCCACCAGCCCCAACGGTAGCACCAGCAGCTCCTTCAGCAGATCCAAATCGATCAAGCAGAAACCTAAACCCCTCATCGACCTCACGCCCATGTACCAAGAACCGCCCCAGCATGCGCGGAGAGGCCGCGGTGTCCCCGCAGGACCCGGGCAACCGTTAGTCGAGGCTGCCACAAGCCCTGAAGTACTTCCCGGCGCCATCATAGTCCCCAGCGCAACCACCTGGCGCAAACCACAGGCACAGCCATCACAGCTGCCCACATCACCTGACATTACCCACCCCAACCCCAGCCGTGGCGGCGGCGGCGGCGGCGGCGGCGGAAGCGCCCACCAGAATCGCCCGACGACATCATCCCATACTCCCGGTATCGGACCCCTCAAACGAGCCACCACATTCCACAACAGCAATATCAACGAACACACGCCGCCAATTCCGCTATCTGAAACACCCCAAGCGCAAGCGCACGGATCCCCCTTCGCGCCCACAGGCCTGCTGGCGCGCGCAGCTACCATTAGCGCCGCGCGCGGCAGTGCCCGGCCTGACACTGGTCGCGGTGTGGCAACGGGCGATAGGAATAACTTCAAGAAGCCAATGCTGGATATATCGCAGGATAGCCAGTTTGCAGAAGGGAGTTTGTTGAGAGGGGCGGAGGTTGACAAGGTGGGGAAGGGGTCCAAGGTTCCTGTGGCTGTGCCGGTTATTGATCGGGGGTGAGAGAGGAGAGGAAAGTGGGTTGGGGAGCGGAGGGATGTTTCACGTTTGTGCCAAGGTATTATGCTGATCCATTTTCTTTTTTTTATCTTTATACTGTTATGGGCTGGGTGGATTGAATTGGACTTGGGAGTTCTCTGTTCTCTATATTGCGTCGGGTATATATATATCTCCCTATATATACATGAGGTGGTTTATTTTTGCAATTCTGGTTTGGGTTTTTTGTTTATTCTTATTTATTCCTGCTGTGTCCACACTCAAGTAACGTTTAATGGTTTTTTTTTTTTTTTTTTCCGGGGGCTATATTCCTTCTGTTGAACTCCCTTCTGGGAATTTCTTATATTTGGACCTTTTGTCTTTTTTTTCTCTTTGCTTTTCGTTTTGTCCCCCTTTGAGTTCCCTACGCAAGTTCTAAGTGAGGACTTATATTTATTGTCTACTTTCAACATGACAAAATATCCCTCTGTTGACGTCCCCTCTATACAGCTATATACCACAACAAACGCACACAGATACACACAGACATATATATATATATATACAAGATAGAAGCTTCAACGGGCAAAGTTGCGGCATGGCAACCACTCCACCAAGCAAACTACAAGGTGGCACAATCCATGACCTCAGTGATCACGTGATTTACATTCACCTCTCTTGTTGACAAGTCACCCAAAGCTCTCTCTCACCCCTGTGTACAAATAACCTGCTGCTGAACTTCAGAGATCTGCTTTGAAGATTAGCTGAAGTGAGAAGCATCTTTGAGATAGATATCTTTAAATGACAATGAGTTGAATGTTTGAGTCAAATTCTCATTTAATTAATTGCATGAAGTATGTAAGAAACCCGCACTAACTAACTACTATGTAAGGTGCCAGTGCATTTATTTATCATAGTCTGGATTCAAACCATCGCTATCATCAATTTATGAATTATTGCCACACTCTCTACTAGGGACTGGCCTGTTAGATCCTCGATGGGCATCGAAAACGCGGAGCGGGTCCTGCATGAATTTTTCAAACGTGTGCCTGATATTTGACGCGCGGAACAGCTCTGCTGGTTTAGAATCAGGGCCCAAATAGAGCCATAACATGAAGAAGTGTGAGCGAGTCTTCGGATAAAATTGCTCATGGACAATGTTCCGTACATTCGCCAGCGTTTTTGGGTAGTTGGGAATACTATATCCGTCGATCTCCTGGAACGGGCTTTGGTAAATCGCAGCGAATTGCGCCGGCCGGCACCTTTTATTTCTCATAAATGCTGCTGCGTGTTGAGGGGCAAGGGGTAGCCCTCCAAATTGCCGTGAAAGGGGGTTCGTTGCTTCCATATCCTTCTTGCTCAAAGGCAGCCCTCGATCCGGTAGCGATAGGAGAAAATTCTGCCCCTTGCTCGTCATCAAACTCTTTCGGATGCAAGCCGTGTTGCGCGAATCCTTCTGTGATGAGGATGGAGCCGTAAACAGAATTTGGCCAGTAAGGAGACAAAATCCACGGATCGTCAGAATTGTCAAACACAATAAGAAATGGAACCACTGTACTGTACATAAGGCAGCTCCAGATACCACATCTATACGTTCATAAATTCGGACGGGTCAACTAGGCTAACTTCGGACTCAGACATTTGAGTTTGAAATCATACTGGATATATGGACATTGGATACTAACGAATATGATCTTTGAAATCTCATAGTTATCAAATTTATCACGCTTCCAGTTCTCTTTGGGTTGTTAATTAAACGTAATAAAGTCCAGCAGGTGTCAATCCAACACCGCTAAATGAACTTAACCCATTGAGAAAGCGGGAAGAAATAGTGTATAAACGACAGCAGGCGTCTGAAATACCTATAGGCGAAGTTTCCAAGGCAAACTCTTCTCGTCATTATTCAAACCAAAGTTCGAAATCGAAACCGACAGCGTATGCCCCAAGAGCAACTCACTCATCACCTTCCCGCTCCCTGGTCCGAGTGTGACACCGTCGCTGTTGTGGCCTGTATTGAGGTATAGGCCTCCGATCACTGGAGAATTATTGAACTTGAAACTACTACAATGAGCTTCGGATTCAAGTTTAGAGTTGCCTAGCATTTCCCAACTGACTTTGGCGATAGTTGGTATGTTAGGAATAGCCAAAGGGCGGTAACAACGACCAGCTTTGACTATTTCAAGCTCCTCATTTGCTAGTTCCTTGTGGAGTTTGTAAGAGAGAGTTCCAAGAGATGAAGTCTCAGGCCTGAAGCCAAAATAGCCCAGACCACCGGTAGCTTTACCGGATGCCCCAGCGCAGATATCATGAGAAGAATCAATAACCACAATATCAGGTTCAGAAGGAGGCATATACGAAGTTGTTTCGTTCAGAGCTTGTGCAAGATAAAAGGCGGTGGACAAGCCTATGTATTACACCAGCTCCGATAATAACAGTAGTTTCTTAGGAAGTTGTCGTTGATGGGCTAGCTGACAAAACCGCTAGTGGTGTAATCTAACGCGGCAGGTTAGGAAAAGAGATGTGTTTAGACATCGTGAAAGCTCCATGCTAGTCGCCTCCTAGCTAGCATAGCCCTGGATATGTTTTTCTTGATGCAGCTGTGATTGTGGGAAGAATCTGATGAAGCCGCAGAGTGTGATGCGTTGTTGACAGTTGAGCCCAGGCATCGCTCGTTGACTATTTGCCGTGGCTTTTTTCCTGCACTTGTAGATATTATCTCTGAATTAACCCCTTCGGCAGGATAATTAACGGAATGAAGGTGGACAGGTTACCAGAATAGAAAAGAATATAGAAGAATATGATGAATAGAGGTAAAGATAAATAAGATAAATGCGAATGTTGATTGTTGAAGTCCTTACATCCAAGCACATTGAAGTTTTTCTATCTTATTTTACAATTTTATTGATTGTGATTAGTTATATCCACCAATTCCACCCGTTTGATGAATTCTTCTTGTTTTTGATGCAAAAGCGGATTGATGAGGCTGTTCACTGACAAGCTTGCCATAGAGATTCATTGCACTGATATCTCTCAGGAGCTATTTTGAAACGAAATGACAGGCGTCAATTCCTAGAGAGCCAACAACACGGGGACCCACGACGGATTGCTAGGCTCGCTGATGGGTAAACATGCATGTAATGGTTTAGCACATACTGTACCACACCAGCCGACATACAGAAGGAATTCTCGAAGATGGGTCGCCTTGTTTGCAAGAAAGCAGACATGGATATCGATAGTGCCACCTAACATGGGAACCTCGCTGATTGTTTTTTCTTCTCGCAGACCAAATCTCTTCTCCGTTGCATCCCACAAGGGGACACTCACAGTGAAAAGAATAATTTAACCCCATCCAAGCCCCGTATATATAACGCAAGCCTGTAAGAGAGACCGGTTATTATACAACGGCGACGACGGCGTGTAAAGCCAATCATCAAGCCGCCATACATACAAAAACCACGATAGTAGCATTGCTTTTGTTCAAAAATTCCCAGCCGATCCGAAGACCAACATGGAGCGGTCAGTAGTTGTAGTTTTCAACTAGCAAAAACGTTGCCTCAGGCGAACCTTCACTGGTAACGTAAAACCCGTGCACTTGGATGGGGAAGGAAAGAAGAGAAAAAAGAGAGAAAGTAAAAAATTGGGGACGGTGGCAGGGTATTTATATGGGTGGCGCTGGTCACGTGTGACGCTAATTATAACCGAGATTCCATGGTCGTTGATTGGTAAACAATGTATGTCATGTGATGCTGTTATTGGGTTCCTGTTTGAAGAATAGAATTGGGCGATTTTGGTCCCTCCATGATCGGGGTTTGTAAAAACTAAACAATTAGCACCCGTCCCCAAATAA